TTTGTAGGAAAATAATGAACTTCCACAAAGAAGATGTGACTTGCAACATGCTCAGGATGTCATTACTTCCTTCAGGGTGTTTGATTCGGCAGCATCTGGGAGCATCCTGCAACCTGCTTCCAGGAGCTGAGTTCTGGCAAGGTCTCAGTTCTCTCTTGAATTCCAATTCAAGTCTGGAATTGTCTTGAGTTCCAGTCTTGGACTCACCTCAGGTGCTTTTGCTCTGGAAAGCTGACTACAACAATGCTTGTTTCTACTTCTATTCCTATTTATTGTCCATCTTGTTTGATTCTGTCTTTAAGGTGTGCTAGACAGATGTAAGTTTATGCAGATGTGGGTTTGTGTAGATCTGCCAGACTGGTGTTATAGATGCACCAGGTGAAATGGAATTAACTGGACAAAATGAACTGGATTGGTAAGTGCAGTGTTTCTGTTCCACATAGCCAGCATGGCAACTATGAAACAAAACTATAATATATTCCCTGCTCTTTATTCTCTATGGCCATAGGAAGAATAAACCATCTCAAAAGATCTGTGATGAGGTGGGAAAAATTGACTAAAAAAGTAAATTTAATTGTTCACCTCCCCAGGCCAGAACTTACGGGATAAAAACTGTAAAAGCAACAATATCTGTGATAGATGGACTTCAAATAAGAGCCTGAGGACTGACAGACAAATTCCTAATCTCTTACTGGTATCAGTGTAAATTATGAGTTCTCAGGAACTCTAAAAATTAGTGAAATTAGATTGCAGCCAGTGTCTTGGTTCCGAGACCTCATGTTAGAGCAGCTGTTCTAGTATGTGTACTAGAAATCATTTTGCTTTGAGGGAAAATGAGCTATCCTTGGGATGGAAACAGCAAAACACACAGAGGGGATACATTTTTTACTCTGATAGAGAACTAATGCCATACCTGTTACTAACATCCTTTGTTAAATGTTCTTACATAGCAAGCTGCATAGATCTTATTAATGGTAAAAAATGACTTCTTTTTTCTCCAGTTTTTTCCACCTCAGAGCCAACTGACTGTTCCAACATGCTATTTTAACTGCTCCTTCATGTCTGTTAACACAGAGGCCTGTTTAAGTCCTGTTCTGGCTGTTGGGATAGGAGAGAGAGCATATTTAACTTTCTTTCTGGATCCTTCTGTAGATTCCAGTGTGTTCTACCTGATGAAATAAGTATTTACTGTACAGCAGCTGGTGAAAAGTGCTTGTTAAAATGTTAAGTGTAAAACGGCTTTAAAAAAGATAGTATTGGTTATAGTTAACAGTATGTCTTAACCACTGATTATTTAAACTTTTCTTTTGCTTAAGATTAGCTTGTAGTAAGGAAAAAATATAACCACAGCAGAAAAATTATTCCAAAAAATTTTTATTCTTTTATTCCAAAAAAATCCAGTGGATGTTTGTCATAATTGCTGCTGTGCAACAGACAACTGGAAAGAGATCACTTACAATAACACTTGGTTTTCAAAAAGCTTTCATGATTTAAAGCCCCACTCTTTAATTAATTTTATCAGAAAATTAACTTAAAACATCCTGCCAGCCAAATATAATCTCCATACTCTTGAAGGGATGAGTGACATGCTTGAGGACAAAGCTAGAATGGCCATCATACCTCAGGAGGAGATTTCAGGCATTCTTGCTTTTGGAGATAACTGGAATATGCCAACCCCTCATGCTGTGCCTCTCTCTGCTTGGACAGGCAATTTAGTATTGCATAATGTCCCTTTTGTCAGAATTATAGATAATGCAGGCTGAACCTGCTGAAATGACATTAACAGTACTGAATCAAGCACTGTCGTGTCAGAGAAAAGACAGTGATCAGTCAGCTAGCCCCACACTGACCCTCAGGTCAGGCTTCAGCAAGTAGCTGGAAGGCAGGCTTAAGAAATTGTGGGGTGTTTTTTTCTGAAGACTGTGAGAAATCCCTACTATCATCACACAAGTTGCTTATGTCAATCAGCTGCTTCTCTGGTGGCAATACCTTTTCTGACAGAATGACACATAGGTAAGCATCTTGTTCCAGGGACTGGCAGATTTTCTGGGGCCATTGGAGAGGTTCTGGAATCTGTTTTGTGTGATCTGAATGTTCCTCGCTGCTTTGTGCTATTTGTACCAGAGAGAGCTGCTACACATTTCCTATGCTACATCAGTGAATTGATATTTAATAATTAACCTTGTTCATGGTAATTTGGATTATGTTGACTATAAAATATAAGTTTAACATGTTGGAATATGCTTAAGGCCAGAATTAGCCTTTCAGAGGCTGACAGAAAAAGTCCAACTGCTGACAAGCTAGTGCAATGTGTAATGAGCAAGAATAAAAGCCAATATATGATTTAAACAATGTGTTTAGTAATACAATGTAGATAATGGGAAGCTGAGGGAGGGCTGTTTCCTCCACAGTTTAGAAACAGTCAGAATAGACTGTCCTTGAACGAGAGCAGCTGTATGCCAAGAAGCCCCCCTCTATTTGAATTGCTGATCTTTCCCAACTTTGGTAAAAAAAGGCTTCCAAAGCCAGAAAAGATAGTAAGAACTCCAAGTGAAAGTGATAAAATATTTATTTACTGTTAGTTCGTAAATATCTTGAGTCAGCAGGTCAATTTCAACTAAATTCTTCACATTTGATGAACTGGGATGATTTTGAGATCATTGGGACTGATTCTGCTGTGACCACTGCCAATGAGACTGTTGAGCTATTTTGGTCTCATTTATCACAGGAGTGCCAGGCTACTGTAGATTGCTGTACTTAATACCTGAAGGTGAGCACAATAGTTTGCTTTTTAGAAACTCATTTGAACAACTTCTGAAATGCTAAATGACTTCAGGTGTAAAGGAATTATTGTGAGCAGTATGCTGAACCACTTGGTGAAAAAGAATATGTTTTAAAAGTGTAGGTGTGGCACAGCCTGCTGCATTTAATACTTTATTCAGCACTTTCTGGTTTCTTGTATGGAGAGGAGATTGATTCTATCCACTTCCAAATGGGTAGTTACTTTGGCCTAGATCACACAATATCATACTGTGGGTTTGGTAGCTAGTTCTGGTCCAAGTTAAATTTGGGGTTTAAGGGTAAAAAAAAAAAGAATTCCACTATTAAGATTTTTTTTTTCCTGTTTTTAAGACATTCCTATACTTTTAAGATGGTAAAATTAACAATTTTATTAACTGGTCTCTACCTGGCTAAAGTGAAGGGCTCTCTTCCTTCAAAAAGTGTTGTAGGGGTATTGACATGCCAGATGGTTCTACATTTATATTTAATTTAGAGGAGGAAAAAAAAGAAATTCTGGGATGTGCTGTGTTTTGTGTAAATGTGGAAATGGAGCAGTGGGGGAAGATTGAGACAGATGTTCAGAAAAGACAACGTGTGTAAATGAGAGACAAAAAGAATGTGAGACATAAATTGTTTCTGGGTTTTAAAAGGAAAGGGAGAGCTTATTCACTTTGTCTCCTTCAATAAGTTTGTCTGAGTCTGCCCTGGAAGAGGTCAGGGATGTGCTGGGATGACCACCCTCACGGTCTGGCAAACATTCTGCTGGTGGCTGCTCACAAAGAAGTGACACATACCTTTTAAACTCTTACAGTTGCTTGCTCCCAGCTTGAACAGTGAAGAAAATTGTGTGAGGAAGAACTGATGACTGCAAAATTAGTAAAAGAGGTTCATGTGGAACATACTACAGTTCCTGAGCAGGATCCTGTAATCCTAGATGGGATGGCATTATACTGTGCTTTCACATTGATTGCCCTTTTGTATTCCCAGGGACTATTTGGAGAAGCAAATGCTCTTTGGCATGTGTCTGGCCCTGCATAATTTACATTACTGTTATTGTATTTTATAGCATAGCATGTGGGATAAAGACTGCGTTCTGAACAGAGCCTATGGAAATGTGGCTGCCATTTGTCAGTCTAGATTTAATTGCAGTGGCTGTAGCAGTGAAGACTGAGAGACTGGAATGTGCCTGCTCACAGACAGAAACATCAGGAAAAAATTAACTTTTAATGGAGGGTGGCCCAATTTATAATCAGGTGTTTATCCTGTTTTCTGACAGTATAAGTCTGGACTCTTATTGATTCAGGCAAATTTGAGGAGAGGAGAGGAGAGGAGAGGAGAGGAGAGGAAGAATTCCAAGAGACAGAACTTGTACAGCTGTAGGTACCTTCTGATGCTGCTGCTCTATCCAGCTGTTGTGTTAATATTCACTCCAGCACAACACTCCAGAAATAAATTTTTAAAAAATCAAAGGAAAGAAAGAAATGACAGAACCAGATTGCCTCAGAGTAGTTAGCTCAACAAAGCCTGGCACAGTCAACCATTTAGACACATGCTTAAATCTCAGCACTTTCAGCATTCAGTGAATCTTAGAAGGACAAACTTATGTTTGTACTTTAGAGCTTTGCTGGCCTAGGCTGGACTGGGAAAAAGGAGGTTTTTTTTCACTACTGAAGAATTATGAGCATCTGGAATTTGTCTAGTTTTTATACCTCAGTGGAACATGTGCAAAAGAGCATTGCACTCTGACAGCAGCCTTGTGCAGCATCAGTGTACATATAAATGTCTGCAAGGCTCAGAACATGTTACCCCAGTCTCTGACAACAGGTATTCTTCTGGAAATGGATAAGGGCCAAATTCAGACCTGAGAGAGAGAGTTTTAGTTCAAAATGACAAACACAAACCCTGGTTCTGAAATTTACCTTAAGCTAATTTGGATTTCCAGTAAAAACATATCAGAGAAACCAGAGGGATTTTCTCCCCTGATTTTTACATTAAATATTTTGATGACAAAATTTGTTTCTGGTGGTAAAACACATGATGATATTAAGAGGAATACAACTAATCATGATTGAACAGGAATTGAATAAATTTGCCTACAATCTCTGTGGAAAAAAACTTCGCTGGCAAGCAGCAGGTACTTCTCAAGCAGGAGGCGTTGCTTTTCTAAAGAGACTGTATTTATTATGGGTGGCTGGATATCTGCATGCTGGCTCAGTTCCCTGTAGTAAGGCACTGACCACATTACTATGTGCAAACACAGGGTTCACTCAAGTGGTACTAAAAAGAGAAGAGGTGGGGCAAGCAGAGCTTTAAAAAGAAAAGGGGAGTCCATCCAAGTCTGGATGTAAAAAACAACTGCGTTTCGGAGAGGGACGGTACCTGGAGATTTTTCTCCCTGCACTCCACTGAGAGCTGTGCTGAAGTGTTTTCTGAATTCTCTGCTTTAAAGATTTAAACAGCAGCTTTATTGCAAGGAAATTTGAAGAGATCCTTGTGAGCATGGCTTTTGAGCTGTGTTAAATTTGTGGCAAGAGTGTCAGGCATTTCATACTTGGCTTCCAAAACAGAGAAAAAAAAAAAGAAACGAAAGAGAGAGAGAAAAAAAAGCCCTGATGTGTGTGGAGAAGAAATCTCCCAGGAATTTCTTCAAGGTTGTAGTCAGACACAGTAAGGTCTAAAGTGACAAGAAAAGCAAGGCAAAGATAAAACTTGAAATTGTGATAAGATGTCTGAGCCTAAAGTGACAGCTTGCAGAAAACTTTTGGGATTACACATGCTCATCCTGTCCTGGATATGACTGAATACAAGCTAGTTTTTCTCTAGTGACAGCTTGAAAAACCCCTCAAGATTATGTTTCTCTTCCTTGTTGCTTTTTTGCCAGTGGTTTTTAAAATTGGTTTTGTCAGCCTCTCAGCTCTGCAGCACTGGAACTGTCCTAATGGATACAGATTAAAGCCTGAAAACTCTGCTTGTGTAGGTAAGTGCTGAACATTCCCAGAAAGAAAAACTGCATTTATATTATCTTAATATAACTATAATTTTTGAAAAGTTTTTTTACAGATTGCTTATGTGTTGTACTGGCAGAACTGATAAATCAGCTTCTCAATATCTGGTGAATTTCAAAATGAATAGAACTCCTTCTTTTTTTCTTTCAGAAATCAGCATTGTCTCTTGGTTTAACTATCAGAAAGTAGAATAGGTTTTCATTTGCTCATTAAGAGATATTAACTGTTCTCCAGTTACCAAAAGTCCTTGCCATAGCTTTAGGATCTCCATAGTTTCAGTACACGAGCATGCATGTGTTCATGCTTCAATATATGTAAAGTTTGAGTATAGGTGTATTTTTATATTTCTGTATACATATATGAAGAGTGTTTTAATGATTATGTATTAGTATTCATCTAGATGTGGGCTAGATAACTTTAAAAGCTATTTTTTCTATGCTCATTATTGCATGTAGATGTGTGTTCTCAGGCTAATAGTGCATCTCATGAATAGCAGGTGTGCAAAATACTGTGGTAGGGAGGTCTGGGAGAAATGTGCAACACTAACATTCCTGTAATAATCTCCAGTGATTTGGAGCATGTAAAATGCAGATTCTAATTCTTTATGAAGTGTAAGACAAAGGATGACAGAACCCTTCTCCCTACCCTGATACCGTGAAGTCCAGTTTTTTTCAAGAAATCCAGAGCCAATAAAGTTGTGAGCTTTACAGCTAGGAGATGAGGAAATGCTCTGAAAGGATTTGAGCAGCTCCTCATACTTGGAATTAAAGCTTTTGCCTCAGATTCCTTGGGCTTCAGAGGCTCCGACTCAGTTCTTTTCATGATTCTAGCGATGCAGTAACAGGTGCTTCCTCTGTGCTGTCTGCTACGAAATACCATCTTGTAGGCACAAATAGAGGCCTGCATGTTAAATGCTGTCAAATTGAGGGGGGAGAAACTGGGTATTTTTTGTGTACAAATTGTAAACTTGACTGAAGGTTTATCTGAGAGCCAAACATGCCTAGAGTGCTCCTACCCTGATGCTTCAGTTCAAACAACAATCACACTTCTGAAATTAATCTCCATATTACCACCTCTTACTATGTTTGCTTTACCTTGCAAAGCACTCTCAAGGTGCACAGCCTGGAGTCCCTTTGGGCAGACTTAAACCAGAGGGTGTCCCTGTAGGGATCATCTTCCCTCTCTGCTCTTGGTGGCCATTTGGTCCATGGGACCAGCCCAGGCCTGGTCCTCTGTAAGCTCAGGCTGAAATACATGCAGTGGGTGTGCCATATCCTTAGAAGCTGTTGCTGTTTACACAGCCTTTCCTATAGATCCATACCATTTGCTAGCATGTATTTAGCTTCCAAGAGCTCATTAGGATGTCCATTAGCTATGGCTTCTGCATTTCTGGGTTTCCCAGTTAAGAGCTTGTGTATAATGGGAGAATCCTATGCAGAGGAAGGGAATTGCTTGGCTACTGTTCAATGAATCAAAAACCCACTCTAAATATTAATATATAGAAGGCTGTAAAGGCTTTTTTTCCCCAGTGGACATATTTTTCACATTGGTGCATACTGAACTTCCTTTAATGAAGACATAATCTGCTCTGCATAAAGTCTCTTCTGTTGAAAATTACCTGCTGTATGAATGAAGAACTGTAGTACTGAAACAGATTGACCAATAGCTCAACAAACTCTCTAAGAAATAGCAGCAGAAGAAATCTCCTGCTTAAGAGTTGATGTTACTGTGACATACTCTCAGTAATTGCATATGACACAGAGTAAGTGAAAAATGAGATGCATCATGGTAATTTTTCAATTAAAGGCCACTGGATTACAGGGGATTAAGCAATGGTGAAATTTTGACATGAAATGTAGGACTGCAGGATGCTTTGGTGCAAGGGATTTCCCTTTCTCTTTCCTCCATGTCCTGGACACACAAGTGGTGCTCTGGGCAGATCAGATGTGTGATATTCTAGTTCAGTAATTATGTGAGACAGAGGGGGCAGTGGAAGCAAGTGGCAGGAAGCTGGAGGCAGGCTTTGAAGGTAATACTGGAGATAAAAGTGGTGAGTGGGAGACATGATTCATACCACTGAACTGTGAACAATGACAGCAAGCTGGATCGTGGCTTGGCCACCATTCTTAGTGAGCTGTAATAGATACACCAATTGCAAAATGTTCTTCATCATCTGAGGCTGTGGTGGCAACCTGCCAGCCATAAGGGTTCCCCTGAATTGAGAAGGTGTCTGTTCTTTGTTAGTGAATTGTTACAAGTGATACTTGCCAGAACGTGTGTAGGTTTTTCTAGATCTGTTTTCCACACTGTGGCTTAAGACAAAGGTCTAGGTCATCTTCTTACATTGCTAAATAACTCACTCCTTAATTAGTTCCTTTAATTTCTATGGCTATTCAAAGATCAAAGACCTCCTCATCCTGTGGAAGTGTGATGAAATCTAACCCTAAATGTCTCACATAATTTTATACAGTTATTTTAAGAGAGATTTTTTGAATCTTGACTTGTTATGACAAGAGAGAAGGGACCTTTCTAAAGCATTGTTAGTCCAAACCAGCAAGGCTTATAGGAAAGAAAGTATGGGAGAAGAAATCACAAAGTTTCAGAGCAAAACTAGTCTGATGAATGAATGCATAAATATATGGACAAGTTATGGTAGAATTTGAAGCACTTCTGCAATTTTTGACATGCCATCTTGAATTAACAGCTTATTTTAAGATGCTATGAGGACTGTGGATCAGTCACCTTCAGTAACTCCTGTTTTGTAGACCCCAGTGGAAACATAGAACCTTCTACCTCTGCAAAAAAATAGTCCGGCCTACAAAGGTGCTATTATTGCTACAAACAAAAAATCATATGCACAGTTGGTCCCAGGAGAGCTTAGATTTGTAACATATTTGACAATGTAAGCATAACACAGTGTACCAGAGGATGTGCCTATACCTGCTGGAATCAGTTGCCTTGTGCCCTTCTGAAGCACCACATTAACAACAGTGTTTTTTATTCTCTCATGGTGCATAGATGCTTTCCCTACTCAAGACTGAAAAAGTTTTCCACATTTTTGTCTGAGAAAGGTCCTAGAGCAGCCTCTTGCATTATCAGTTTTAGAGTAGATATTAATGTCTGTTAGTCTGGGGCTATCCTAGGTAAATATATTATCTTCTGGATACTGCAAGACTGGAAGTGTACTTTGGTTTCAGGGCTGACTTTAAATACTGTATAAGTTTGAAAAATGAAGAAAGATAATAATTTTTAAGATACCCAACAGTATTGTAAAAAAATCTTGGAAGAAAGCAAAACAAAACCCGTATTATTGAAGTTTTGACTGATCGTATGTTCTTAAACTCAGCACATCTCTACCATATTCTGACATTAACTGCTGAGCCCTTGTCACTTCTACAGGGCTAACATGCTGCTCATTCCTACAGAGCTACAGCCTGCAATTGAAGGTGACAACTGCAGCTATCTAGGTCAGCTCTTTTGGTCAGATGCTTCCTTCTGTGTGTCAAGATTTACTCTTTTCTTTCTTCCTGTTCACCTCTCTCCTACCACAGAGATGAGGAACATTAAGTTATTACTCTTTGTTTTGCATCTTTAAATTCCCCTTAATTATCTAAATCCTGTCTTCACTTTACTCCATATTTCTGAAGACAAATTGTTAAAACTTCTTTTGTGTATTCTGAGAAATATGAAATGCCAAAACTTTTAAAACTCTCCTTTCCTTCTATGCAAGTATCTCATAAGGAGCAGTAAGAGCCAATGAAATGGGCAACTGTTCCATACCCCTGTCATGACAGGGATAAACCTGATAAGATGCCTCTGATTCCCTCTGCATTTCAGAAGAGCTGCAGTGGACGTGTGTTTTTATCTTGTTTTCAGTAGCTGTCTTCCAGCTAGCTTTCTTATTATACTAACTTGGAGAAAGGAGCTTGTAAATATTTTTACCAAATAGTAGACAGGAATTCTTGAACATGAGTCTGAACCACAGACCAATTCATGAGAAGATTCACATTCAGCTGGATCCAGCTGAATGTGGAGAAATACTATCTTCAGCTGTAAAATCTTGGATCAAAATAGGAAGGAGGCAAATATGTGACAAGAAAAGACAGAAATGGCATCACCCATCACATGATGCCTAATGCTAAAGAGGGCTAAGGGGCAGGCTCCTAGGCCAGTGACTAATATTAAAAAACTCATTGTTTTGCCCAGTGTAAAACAGCAGTTACTAATTTTGTATTCTGTTCTAAAAAAATCCTGACTACATTTTAGTACGGAATTTGAAATCTGATTTTAAAGGGAGCTGGATGACAGTATTTGATGATGCCTCATGGCTTCCATCTTTGAAATCCAAGCCAGTAATAATATGTTGGAAGTTGCATGATCTGGGACGTAGAGGTCTATTTTGTAGCTACTAATTTATACAGAGACTTTATTTCGCATAGAATTTATTCAAAGGTAGAATTTTCTTTCCCATTCTTTCAATTTTTCCATTTCCAGTGAGTAAACACTTGGGATCAGAGTCCAGAAAGAAAAAAAAAAAAAAAAAAGCTGTTGTACCTGGGGATTTTTTGCCCTTTCTGTACAAGATGCCTACAACTGTTTTCTAAATTTCATTTCAATTCTAAATTTGATTTGATTTTATACTTGATAAATCATATATTCTCACTTGCTGTCATATCTGTGACATGATCATCTCTGGGCTGGAAGACACCAGGAGTTGTAATGCATTCATTGTGTTCATATTGTATTTCTCACCACTGTACATGAGTATTTCACAACCTCTACCCTCTCAAAAATTGTGATTGACCAGGTTGTACTTTAAGCCTCATTTAAAATTGGAGATAAAAGATACTGAACTGTGCATCATCTGTTTCATTTTGACCTGCTGATAGCTGGAGTGTCTTCTTCCATTTCTAATTATCTTCTGTTCTTTGAGCTGGATGCTTTAATCACAATAGATAAAAGCGATGAGCTGCTTTCTTTCTCACCCAGATGAATTTTCATGTTCAGCCTCATTGAAAAGTTTATGGTGGTGGATGGATACAGCAGATTGAATTAATCATGAGTCCAACTCACCAAGAACTAGATTTGCATGAGGTTATTTGAGTGTATGTATCTGCACGTATACTTTATGTATATAATGTATATATTTGGGGCCATAATGAAATTCAAATTCTGGTTCACTGTGGTTTCTCTGTGTCCTTGCCAGGCATACTAATACTTCAACCTTCTGCAACCAGAGCCTTTCTCAGGACTCTCAATAAAGTAGTATATTTGTATGCAAAGTCTTTGAGAGCTGCCAACATCGTGATGACATGATTCATCGTTTTTGCTGATTCTCAAGGCATTTTTTGCATAAAGAAGTCTTTGAGAACTAAGCAGAACCTCATTCTTCCTTTCAGGGCTGGCTGTCAGGGCACTGCAGACAGCTTTTGTGTTCACTAAGCCGATTTCTTTCACAGAGTAAAGTTCCCACTGGGGGATGTGGTTGCCAGGACACGTAAAACAGCTTCAACAGGATGCAACTCCATGCTTTCCTTTGGCCCTAAAAGTGCAGATGAAGGCACTGTTAGTTACACCTGATGGATGGTTTTGTAATTGAGTTCTCCTAAACCTTAAAAACCAACTTTTTTTGTTTATTTTGCTTTGGTTGATTGATTGGTGGTTTGATTTGTTGATTGGTTGGTTCAGATTGGGAATTTTGGTTGGAGATTTTTGTACTTTAAACAACAAAGAGAGGGAGTTAAGCATAGGATCCTCTTCCATTGTTAAAGCCATAGAAGCTAAACATTCACAGTGCTGTAGCCTGTTCCACAGTAATACTGTGTCTCTTGGCTCTTCCTGCTAACTACTGGAAGGGCACTGTCCAGTGGCTGAGCTGCCTGTGGCCACTGTGCCCTTGCTCTTTTCTTGGGCAGCTCTCCTTCCACGAGAGCCACTCTTCAGCTGGAGCCATGGTTTGCTCTTCAGTATGTGTGGGATTTACTTTTACTGTGTGAATTTTTGAGGTGATGAAAATGGGTAGGCTGATAAACCTGAAATCTTCTCGTCTGGTGCATTTACTTGGGAAAGAGTGTGAATTCCTGTAGCCTGATCAATCAGTGTTCTCATTCTTGGACAGTCAGTTTTGTACACTCATATAAATCTATTAAATCCCCCCTGGAAATAAAGGGTCATTATTACTTTACCTTGGTCTGTTGCCCAGTAACCTGTGTTTGGTAAAGCAGGTCTTCCCAGTCTGACCCTGAATTAGAATATTCACTGCCTTCAGGGTTTTCCCTTGTAGCTAGTTCCCTTAGTGATTCACCCTTCCTGTTAAAATGTGAATTTAATGTTTCAATGTGAATTCCCTGGCTTTAGTTCTCAGATACCAGTGCTTGATAAATTGTTCTTGAATGAGATTATAGTGTCTTTTAGAAAATCTGCTACATTTTCTTTGTGAAGGTATTAATTTGTGGTGCTTAATCCTTCTTCAAGCTTCTTTCTGATAATAGAAGCATTCTGAACTCTTGAATTTCTCACAGAAAGGCACTTTTCTTTACCTTCAAATCAGGCTTTCTATCCTTGTTGTATACAGTTTCTAATTTTTTATGATCTTTTAGCAACTTTTATCAGAGAAATATGAACAGCATGCCAATATAGTCTGACCACTGCCATATAGAAAAGCAATTTTTTTTTCCTCACAGTCATTAATTTTTCCTGTGTTTGTTTGTGTTGTGATTTGAATTTTCTTGCCAGTAAAATGCTAAGAGGTTAGCTTTTTGTCCATTATGAACACAAATCCTTCTCAGAGAAAGCAGTCTTTCAGATCCAATCTATAGACCAGGCCTATTTTTTTGCTCTTAGTTAATGTGCTCTTTATCGTGATTGAATAATGGCTCATCAGATTAAGCTTCACATTGCTTAATCAAGCAACCTCTTTCTTTAGCAATCCTATATCTACACGGTTGCCTTTTTCATGGTTGCCATACTTGTAATTTCCACAGAGAAATAACTTCAGGCTCATTTAGAAAGTTATTACTGTCATAAAAGTATAGTGACAAACATAAACAACATTATCAACACATTCTCACATCTACTGTGGTGCTGGTAGCTGGATCATGTCAAGTGTCCACCTTAGTCAGTCAGTTCCTTGATTCAATAACCAGTGCATCAGGGTGAGAGTGGAAACAGTGTTCATGCCTGACACTGACAGCAGCTGGACAAGGAGCTGAGGTCCCCAGAGCCTCCCTCTTGGGCTATCGAAGAGCCCTTTAGCTCCAGTGGCATCCAGGCAGTGTTTGCCAGGAGTATCTAGTTTTAGTGGTCACCTGCAGTCCGTGGTGTCTGTAGCACATTAACACACTTCTAAGCCCATCAAACCTTCCTAGAGGGGATTTGGAAGAGTTTCTCTTTTAATGCCGTGGAGAATGGAATGTACAATCCTAGAACATGTGGGAAAATATGCTCCTGAAAGCTGATTGTTTGGAGAAAATTGTGGATTAGAATTAGAGTACTTTATGGAATTATCTTGCTGAAAATGCTTCTGCTTTATCTTTTAATCAAACAGGAATCAGTTGCATGTGCTCTGATTACATTTCATATGTTGTCAAATGAGTTCATCTGCTCTTCGGAGCACAAACTTGTGGGAAAACTCAGTAAACAATATGGAAGTTTTCCCTAGTTGGTACAGACACATTAGGTGGCTGAAAACATTGACATTCTTTTTGAACACCTTTGATACTTGAGCATGGAGGAAAACCCTTTGAACACTTTTTTCTGAGCATATTTTCTTTAAAGCAGTTAAGTAAACTGGTTTGCAGAACCGCGGAATAACAGAGATCAGCTTGTTTTGGTCCCCCTGAGTTGCTGAGAAAATTTCTTTCAAAGTCTTTTGTGAGCTGGTTAAATTGCTGTTCCTTGTAACCAAGGTGCTGTTCTTTAAACTAAGAGAAATCTCACATAACACTCACAGACCTAGTTTTGGTTGTGAATCCACGTTCTTTAGTGACTTATTCAAATGTATCTCTTTAAAACAAAATGTGTTCATTCTTTTACTCCTGCATGTGTCGAGTCACATGGTAAAGCACAGAACAAAAGCCACTGACATCAATGAGAACTTGGGCAAGAAAAAAGCTGCTCCTTAGAGCAACCATCACACAGTAGTTGAAGAAGGAAAATATACAAGAAATATAGCAGCATACGGTACTGTTAGACATCAACTACCTTGGGAAGTTACTGTCAGATGTGTTGGTTTTCAGCAGGAAGTAAAACTTATCTCAATTTTGTGGGACAATTATTCATGGTACTGTGGATTTCTTTCCCCCTTAATATAAACTACAGTCCTCAGTGGTAATCTTTTTTTAAAATAAATTTCTTTGATTAGGACCTAATAGTCACTTCTTCAAGCCCTGATAAAACAACATAAATACTTCAAATATCTTTCAATTCCTAAAGGTTCTAGCCTAACCTACCAGTTAAAAACCTAGTTTCTAATTAATTTGCTCAGTGCCTTGGTTTGGACTTGTTTCTGTCAGAATACAGTGGGAATTTTAGTGTTTTGTATGTCTGTTTGAGATTTGACTCAAACAAAAATAAGCTCAGTGTTGATCTCAGTGCTGTGACAGCCTGTTTTCTGCTTTACTGTTTTGAAAAGTCTGTTAATTTGTTGGCAAAATTATTACTGTTGAAAAAGAGATAAAGATAGAAGCAAGCAGCTGCAAGCTACATACGCATAGCAAATAATAACAAATAAAACAAGTCTGTTCCCTGTATTTAAGCAAGTAGAGACCAGTGCCCAAACACCAGGAAGAAGAGTAATTTCCTTTGACAGTCAAAAAAAACCCCCGAAATAAAAACCCAACACCCTCCAAAATCACCCTGACTGTGACAATGATAAATTACCCTCCCTACACTCCAATAATTCTGAAACCAATGCATGAAGGAATACACAGCCATACTAATTTCATTTTTTAACGATGGGATATTAAATTTTGTGACAATTTATTATCAGATAAGTTTGTCAAAGGTATTCTTTCTCCTTGTTCTTTACTGCTTTTGCTAGCTGAATTTTCCTGATCTTTTTCAAATACCTATTTCAGATATTGATGAGTGCCTTGAAGGTGGTTTGGGAACCTGTGGCCAAACCTGTATCAATATTCCAGGGTCGTACATCTGCTCCTGTTTGCCCGGTTACTCCTTGGGTATTGACAAGCAGTCTTGCTATGTGAACGGTAAGGATATTTTCTTTTTTGATAACAGAAAAAGGGCTTTAGAGATTCAGTTAGCATTCCTTTTCAAAGTGAACCAGCCATGCTGGTCCCTACTGGTCAGTGACTGGGGTTTTCTGGTTTGCTGACAAAAAAACTGCCTCTGCTACTGTGTGGGTAATTGGCAAGGCCAGAAGTGGATGCCACAGAAGAATGATGGTGAAGAATGTAAACTATGGTGGTAGAAAGATGAATGTATCTATGAAAACAAACCACCAAACTTAAAAATTACATCCTATTTGCTCTCTCTGCCATTTTAAAACTGTAGACTCTCTTATCCCATCCTTACTTCCAAGAAGTCATGGCAGTACAAAAGATTCTGCTGCCTTGGCTGCTTTCAGTCTGTTGGCCTTGGTGTCTTGACAGTATGTTAGGTTCTAGGAAACAGGAAGCCCTTATTTTTGCTTTCATCCATTGGCAGTTAGAACATGAATGCTACTGTGAGTTATTTCTCTCCCTTCCTCTGACATGAGTATATAAATTGATTTTTAAATGTGGGAGATGCATTTAAATGTAGAAGTTTTTAGCTCTTCTGAGAGGAAAATATTTGCAGTTGCAGCCTTTGATTAAGCCTCATTTTGTCCTGAACTGATGCTACCCAGGGAAAAAAAAAAATGAGTCAGATTGATTAGCTTAATCCTATGTTATATCTAGAGTATGTGGTGGGAGTGCTCTGAACTTCATCTCTTACCTCTCAACTTTGATTTCCTGAAGGCTTGGCTTTGGCTCCTGTCTGGGATACACCATAGCTCCTTTCTGATCCAGGACCTCAAGTTTTCTGTTTTTTGGCTAGTATTTACCCAAGATTATCTTGCTAATGCAGAGATGGGGTGTGACAAAGCACGTTTCTGACCTGAGAAGTGGGAGCTGTACTTAAGTCCCTTTGTGTCAATTTTGGGATCATGAACATAACCAAAATTATTCTGAAGAGCTCCTAAACTGCTATCAACACAATTATAGTCCAGACCCTAGAATCATCATAATTATCAGCAACATAAATATCAGCAACAAAGACCCAAATAGGATTTTTTGTGGTCCTGCCTAAACATCTATAGTTCCTTTGCAAGCTCTACACTTCTGAACTGAAGTGAAAACCAATGTGTAGTTTCCCAGTGACATTTGTACACAGGTATCTTTCAGAGAACAATCTTTTTTTCATATTGGAGTACTTCAACTTTTAACATGTTATTGCTACCATTTATAGTAACAGCAGAAAGTGACAGATAGAGCTCCTGTGATGGATAAGGAACCCCTAAATCGGGTATAAACCCTTCTGTGGGGGATACACCAGGTGAAATACCCTCATGTTATAAAGACAAGAAGATCTTTGGTGCAGATACAGTTTACCTGGTAAACCCCTGATAAAATTGAGTCCTAAATCTGACTGGTGCCTCTGAAGCAAAAGTTAGATTTGTTCAGTTCTTGTTCCATTTGGAGCCTCATTCACAGGTTCCTGGCAGGGAATTCACAGAGTGGAAAGGACAAAACCAAAGTGTATAAATATGCTTGGTCAACTAATTGGCAAAACTGCAGGCAGTAGCTGTCAAATCCCTTAAATAAATCAGCCTGGCCACTCTTCAGCTTTCATTTAACATTGACATGAAGCAAGTCTTCATTGTTCAAATATGGGGTTGGTCAGTTCAAGTAGCAGCAGGAAAAGAGAGTAATTAAAATCCCATAAGCAGCTGCTATAATTAGGTGCTAGCTTTAAATTTTGAGATTCAAAACATTCTGTTAACATAGAAAGAGTGTACTGACCATCTTCCCTGTGAACAAGACAAAATTACATCTTGGATGATCATCAGAATTTTCTTCACTTGAAGAAATAAAAATTTGTCTCATTCCTCTGCTTTGAAAGGAGAATTAAGCATTCTTGCAACTATGAAGGTGAAGCATCTATCTCAATTTTGTAGAAGAACTTTTTGTTCAGTTTAAAGCTTCAATTTTCATGCTAATAGCGAAGATATTTAGTTAAAAAAAGATTTAGTTAAAAAAAGTGAACCTTGTCAATAAAACCAGTTTAATTTTAAAAGTGTATGTGTAAGAAAACTGGCAGTAGTGCATCTTCAGGCATCCATTTCAAATAAATAGAAAGCTGATTTTTCATTGTAGAATAATTCAGCCATTGATTACATAGCCTTGAAAGCTGTCATTCTGTTAGAACTATATCAATAATTGCATTTCAAAGTCAGTCAGGTTGAGGACGGCATGTATGCCAGGATCTGTTGTTTCAAGCAACCATGATCTAAAATTTCAGCATTACTAACACAATGGAATTTATGCTTTGTATGGTTTTTTTAGTAGTAAATTAAAGAATAGACTTGATGCCCACAAATATGTGTGTATATATAAATAAATAAATAAATAAATATATATATATGAAATAACAAAATAACAAACAGCATACCCATGTTTATTTTCAAAATGCAAGTTACAAAGTATTGGTTACATAAGAACTACTTTGCTATATGCACTTGACAGACAGCTTAAATGAAAACCCTTGTGGTTTGGAAAGGTAGTTAAGGTTCCTTCTGCAATCTTTATTGTGCTCTACAGTGATACCCCAAAAACAAAGAGATACCCTAAAAAAAAAGAAGGACTTGATAAAACTGAATCAACTCAAATCATTAGGCCATACTAATTGTACTTCCATACTTATCACCTTGTTTTAAGGTTGCATCAAGGCTTTTGGGATCATCCTAGCTGTTCATCACTTTCAGCCCTAATTGGTTTTCTGGAGTATTGGGCGTAATTGGAGCACCTTTCATTTTAACATATTTTATGTAAAATTACTGTTATATTCTTTCCCTTTGCTCATTACAAATAGAGATTTTGTCTGGAAGAAGTTATTGCTTTTGAGCTGTCAGAGTTTTAAGTACAGATCTTTTGTTTTCCTTCAGCCTTCTGCAGCACAAGAAACCCCCCCAATCTCCAGTTTATTCCTTTTTCCTGTATTGGGATCTTCAATTTCCCTTTTTGGATAGTTAAAGGAAGGTTCCAGACTACCTCTCTGTAATAAATTCTTTCTATAGTACAACAGTTTAAGTGATCTTCAACTTGGAGGCACCTCCATGGCAAACTTCTTTCAACCTCAGTTGGCAAGCATGCAGCAGTTGTTCTGATCTCTCACTGGGCTGTAGGATTTGGGATAAGTGGTAACAACCACTGTCGTTTCAGTTTCCTAACTCAGATTTTGCCATAATTTTCAGCATTAGATGTTAAAGGACCACTACATTTATATATTACTGGTTGTCTGTGATACACCTAGAAAGTTGCTATTAAGAAACGAGACATCTAAATCTTGAACTTTCTCTTTGACTAGTATGCAACCAATGAGAATTTAATGCAGCAAAAATGTAATTATTATCAATTAATTAGTCCCATTTTGTTTTCTCCACACCAGATCCAGCACCATTCCTGCTTTTTAGCCGTGGAAATGCCATCTTTAGAATTGACACTGAAGGGACAAATCATGAAAGATTGGTTTCTGATACTGGCCCATCAACACTTTTGGATTTTCATTATATAGAAGAGAAAGTGTATTGGGTTGACTCTGAAAGGCGACTACTTCAAAGAATTAATCTAAATGGCACAAAACGAGAGGTAATCAGTTCTTTGGAATTCTTCTAGTTAATGGTGTAAACCCCTCTGTGGAAACCACCTGCTCCTTGAGTACAGTTCTGCCTTTACTGTTTATTGATAAGCACTTCGCTTTTGCTGTTGTAATAGTTCTCACCCTGAGCCCAGGCTGTTTTACTGGCATTCACATTCAGTTCATAAAATACATTCTGTGGATCAGATGAATGTAGGAGACAATTGAGTTAAAAATGCAGGAGAGGAAATTCAAACAAGCTAAGGCTTTGTAGACTTTAATGTTTCTATCAGCTATAGATTATTCTCTGACATTGCAACATCTTCAAGATTATTGTAACACGAACTGACACAAATGCTATGAGAAGAATGTGCTTTAATTCATACTAATTTTTTCTCAAACCTTTTATTGCTTTCTATGGTTGCATATATGCTATTAGCATTTTGTTCAGCAAAAACCAGTGCAGTTCATTGCACTGGCTGATTAAGAAGGGCAGACAGGCTGCTCTGGCTGAACTTTATTGCTGTGAGAGTGTTCTTTTGTTTGAGAGAAATTGCCAGTATCATTTACCTATGTGGAGTTTTCACTCATGTATTTTCCCCTGATTTTAAGGGGAAGCAGTCCAGCAGCAGTGTGTTAGGAGACTTCCATCTGTAACAGTGCAGGCCTGGGTGCTTCATAGGGTGCAAAAAGTTGTAGCTAAATATTAATTCAGTATATTTTTTGTGCAGAATAGTTTGTCCTTTTGCAGGGAGCCACTCAGTTCAGAGGGGGTGCATATAAGCACAAAGACCATATGAAAGTGATGAAAGAGAAAGCAAGAGGAATAGCTACAGGTCAGAAAGAAAATTAAAATAGGCAAATGAATGAACTGGAAAGTTTCATCTGGGTCTTCTATTCTCTGTAATGAAAGCCAAGTTTAGAGCAGTCATTAGGATTCCTCTTGTCAACTCATTTTTTCTTGTTTACAGAGACTATGTTACATAGACAAAGGCATTTCAGGCTTTGCTATTGACTGGATAAATCAAGACATTCTCTGGGCCAACAGACAGAAAGGAACCATAGAAGCAACTGACATGAATGGGAAGAAACGCCGAGTTCTTCTAAGAGCTGTTGGCCGTCCCACAAGGATTACCATTGATGCTGAACAAAGGTAATTTTAAAGGAGTCGGTAATTTCATGGAAACGGACTCCAAATATGTACAGTACTATGATTGTGGCTTCATGGAATCACAGAAATGGATTAGAAGAGATTGTAAAGGTCATCTAGTTCCAACCCACGCAACTATTTTAATATTAAGGCTCATGTGTCCATTCCTACCACATTTGTACATAAACCAATCTACTGATGATAGTAGCACTGCTAATACTCTTTGTAATCTTGCCATCTCAGTGGGATTTAGGGCCTGGACATCACACCTGCCTTTCCTGAAATTTGCAGGAGCTCCCCATAGATTTGAGAAGTAATTTGCAGTTTCTTTGACTCCATGGCTGAACAAAGTAGAGAGACAGACAAAAGTGCTTTGTGGTTAAGCTGGGCTGATTCCTGCTTGACCTACTTGAGGGAAATTGCTGCTACCTCCAGTAATACTGGTTTCTAGTATCTCCAGAAGTACTCGTAGTCTAATACCACACTGAGAAATTTTGTATAGAGGAGCAACTAAATAACTCAATAAAGAGTATGTAGCTGTGATGTGATTTTGAAAGTGTAGGGGGTTTTTTTGTTGTGAGGATTTTTGTTTTGTTTTTTTAAACATGCCTCTCTTGCCTGCAGGCTGTTATTTATGTCTTCAGATGGTACAGTTTCCAGCATACATCGAGTGTCCCTCAGTGGAAGTGATATGATAAATATTTTGAAAACTACAGAAAAAATAAAGGCCATCTCACTAGATTTGCTTGACACAAAGCTCTACTGGATCCAACATGACCACGGAAAAGAGATGTCCCATATTGGATCATGTGACTATGATGGTGGAGGTGTTCATTTCCTCAGAAATTCTGTCCGGTGAGTTTTCCTCAGCTTGTCAGAAAAAAACTATTCATTTCAGGGATGCAATTAAGCTCTCTCCCTCATCATCCCTTTTATTGGGTCAGTTCACAACATGAGGAGTATAAAGTGTAATGCAAATGGCCTGTGACTGCAAATGTAATATTAATGATAAGAAAATGGAAAAATGTCACTGTTATAAGGATAATACTGCCACTCAGCACTCTCCATCTTCCAAGCTTTCAGCAAATGATAACTAATTAATCCTTAGAAATCCTCTCTGAATGTTTATTAGTGGCCTTTTTCTGCAGATAGAGGAGCCAAAAGGAGAGATTAAATGATTTATCCAAGGTCACAGTGGGTGAGCTCAGGTGTCTGAGCTGTGCTCAGGAGACTGAACTCCATCCTCATCTAAGCCTGTTGTCCTCCTTAGCTGCTGGCTGGGGAGGCTCGGCCCTGTGCTCAGCCTCTCCATCAGCAGATGTGGTGAAAACTGTGCTGTGCAAGAGAATTGTCCTGCCCAGTGCCAGTGCTAAGTGCTAAGCATGGTTGAGGGGGCTCTTAGACCCGTGATCTTTTGGTTTTCATGCTGTGCAGGGGTACAGGTGGCCAGTAGTGGCCATGGGGTCAGTGAGAGGATCAGGAAAAGGTTGTCACCCTAGTGGCTTTCAGTATGGTTGGGTCGCCATGTGTGGAAAAGGGATTTAAACTGAGAAAAATATATTTTTGCTGGCCTGCTTATTTAAATATGTGGCATACCATTTTCATATGATGAACAAAAAACTGGCTTCTTCCTACATTGCCAGCAGTCAGTTTGGATTTTTCCTTACTTTTTTTTCTTTCTCCCTTGAGTTTGTTGTTGTTCACTGGGGAATTAATCCTTTAGCCTGGATGATCTGGATTCTGTTTTCTACCTGGATTGTGTTTTCCTGAAAAGTAGAAGACAAAAATACCTTTTTCAGTATTTTTTCTGATTTCTCTCTTATTTAATAATTGGCTCTTTTGTGATTTCTGCTAGCTGCTATAACTTACTAGTGAATGGAACCTACATTCCTGAGATAGCAGAAGCAGCAGAAGATGGATTTTAGGAGTGCCCTATTCCTGCCACTCCATCTCCACCCCGATTTCCTCAGTCAGAATTGTCAGAGCAGGCACTGGATATTGACAAACAGTGGGACGTATCTGACCTACATCCTTCAACAGACCAAGTTACCATTTTAGTTGCTGGATTCACCAGAAGCAGGGCCACACCTAGGCTTTCTCTCCCAGTTAAGTCAGTCCTGACCAATAGATCATTAAACATGTGAGAAATGCAGGTTATCCATTTTGTGTCTATTTCTTGAAAATTTGCAGGATTGAGTGCTGAATTATTTTGGGAATGTCTCTGTACCTCTTGATTCTCTGATTCTCATATAGAGAAGATACTATAGTGTGTGTCCAAAAAGGTAATTTTCAATGAACTTGACTGAACTAAGCACTCATAAAATGTTTAAGTGAGTAAATATATTGGGATAAGGTAATGTACCACTTTGTTCTCTTCTCTTGTAGACATCAGTTGCTTGGTATGTCTCTCTTTGCTGAGCACCTGTACTACTCAGACTTGAAGTCTGGCATGATATGGAGAGCCAACAAATATACTGGAAAAGTTGTAGTCACAATTAGCCTGAAGCCATCATTTTTCCCACCGGTGGAGATAAAAATAGTACATCCATTTAAGCAGCCAGGTGCAAGGATTGATTCTCAGGATTTGGGTAAGTAAATGTAATGCTGCTATGTGTGAGAATAATAATGTCATACACTCTGATTCTCTGCAGTAAGAATTTTCTTTGGTAAAATTCCAGGCCTCAGTGAAATAAAGAAAAAAGTTTTTTTTCACTTCAGTGGTCCACAGTTCCACTCAGTATGTGCAGTTCCAGCTGAGTATCAGGGTAGAAGCATGCTGAGCATGAGCTGCTTGTTTCATTAATCTATATACACATGAAGATGTGACTTCTCATTCTCTTGATTTTCTTTGCACAACGATATTTTTCTGCTTTCCTGCTAAATGCACAAAGCATACAGATTTTTAACCTTCTGCCTACATTATCTTCACCAAATGTCTGCATAATTCTGGATATTTTAATCTAAAGCACATCTAAGCAACTGATTGTTATGGCAGCAAAGGTTTTTGAGCACACAGTACTACAGGTCTACAAGTGGATGTCTCAGCTTTGCTGTGAAATGATTCTATTAAAAGTCACCAGGTCTTAGACAGTATTGAAGCTGCTATAACAACTATAGGATAAGAGACTCCTGCCTCTTTAATTGATACCAATTGCAGCCCACAGTATGAATTGTTGTCTCACTGCCTTTCACTGTGCATCCAAAAATGAAGGTAATTGACTTGCAATAGTTCACCTTCCCTGGGGATTCCTGCTGAGGCAGTAGGAAGTGGGGGATGTTCAGGGAAATAATGCCTTGTCCTCTAGTCTCTGGGGAGCAGACCATTCCTGCTTTAATGGAACAGCTTTTGTCACCTGTTTTGCTTGGGTAAGAGCAGTGGAGCAAAGACTTGTGTGCCAAGCAATGGTTGCACAACTCCCAAGGGAAGACAGCTATGGATTCCCAGAGGTATAAAGACATGGGAAGAATATATATATATATAAATATGTCTTTGAACTATTTCTAAATAGCTGCTGTAAAACAGACTTTGTCTTTCTTCATGCCAACCAACAGCTGTACCATGCAGCCTGTGCCCTCTGAAGACTGGTCTGAGTGGGAAAATCAAAACCTTCAAAGGAACTTTCCGCTTCAAATGCTTTGTTTACAGTGCCAAGACCTGCTGAGATGCAGAAATCAGTGTTCCTGGAAATCAAGCTTACCCTTGTAAGCACAGGGAGTCTCTATTCAGAGACAATCCTTGATCTGTCCTTACTTTGGGGGAAATGGCTGTCCTGGCAAATGGAAGCCCTTTTTTCTACTGACACATTTGGTGCCCTCCCATAGAGGAGCTAGGGCAAGAATGTGCAGCTTAATTTCAGTGATTGTAGGCACTTAGCTTTTACTCTTCTCTCAGAAGATTTACTCCACTTCTTCCACCCAAGCATTCTGCTTTCTGGCATTTCTCTTTCCATGGAAAAGGGCTTTCCCTGCTTTTATTAATAGATAACCTACCAATGTTTTCAAATGTATGTATATTTCCAACATTTTAGTAAATTTTTGTAGGATAGTAAGTGTTGTCAGCAGTAGGCTTTTTAAAAGAAACTCCAAATAACTCTTTGTAGAATGTCTGGGAAGTGATGGAGTAGAAAGAAGCTTAAGAGGCTGAATCCAGATGAACTTTTTGGACTTTGTATGTGCATTGCTTGGCTTATCCAATGCAAGAACGGGGATGAAAGGAGGACTAATGAGCCTGGAGTTCAAATGGGATTTATAGCTGATCTTACAACAGAGAAACCTGAAGATAAAAGCATACCTAGACTAATTGCATGCTCTGTACAAGCTAAGAAAATGTACATTACAACGCAGTGTCAGCTGTGAAATATCAAGCCTTCTTTAAAGCAGATAACTAGTGAGTTCCTTCAGATGAAAAGGAAACTTAGGAGAAATGTGCAACTAATATGATTTGATTTTTTACTGGAATTTGAATTACTTTCTTTGCTACTTAAATTCCTCAGGTCCTTTCTTTCCTTTCTCTTTCAAATGACTTCCTTGGATTGGTCAGGGCCAATTAGTAGATAGAAGAGCATTAATTCATCTATGGGTTTGTTGTAACCCCACAGAAGAACTTTGGTGTGTCACTTTTAATAATGGCTCATAAAATATCTGAAATACCTTAAAATCTCAAATACTGCCTCTGGAATTCTTTGAAGGAATCTTTCCTAACAGATTAATGATATTCAATACTCTTGTAATTTTTTTTTTTTTTGAGAAATTATATTGTGTTTTTTTCCAGTGTAAGATGCAAGCATGAGGCTAATATATAAGTATACGTATTTCCATGTAAAACAGGTGATGGGAGGGGAAAAAAACCCTGTAAAACACAAATAAGTTAGTAAGAGTGCTTTGTCATGGTGTTCTTCCAGAAAATATTATGTTATAAACTTTGTGGTTCATAATTCAATCACCACTAAGCTTTGAAATGTAATTGGTTTTTTAAATATTGGTATGGCTACATAGAGTTCTAATACTTATTCAGTTAAGAATTACTATCTTCTAGAGATTTTCCAGATGGCAAAACTATAACTTCTGTTATTTTTTCATGTAACTCCCAGGTGTCTTAGTTCTTTTTAGACCACTTAGATCAATAATGGTACAGCCATGGGGAGAAAAATCAGTAGCAATGATAAGCATATGATGCAGCATTGAATGTAGTCTTGTTTTTAGACTCTGTTGTTTTGTAGTTGCATGCACTTTCACTTTTGTCATTCTAATGAGATCTGTATTTGAAGATTAGACTCTCCACTACTGTATGTTCCTGATTCAGTTGCAGTGGAAAAAGATTGTCTCCAATTCAAAATTAATTCTACAAAACAAGAAGCTCACCTAAACCCACACAAATTCTAGTCTCTTAAAAGATAACATACTAAATAACATAGATAATATCTACCTTGTCATCCATTCATAATTTTGCATTTAATGGTATGACCTTTGCTAGAGAAGACTTAACCAGTTAACCAAATATGTGCAAGGTGTCTGTGCCTGTAGCCAAGCTGCAGTGTCTGTGTGGGAAATTATCTGTTATTGCTTTTATAGATGTGATCTATCTTTCCACCAAGGGGCTAACGTTTTCTCTATTGTAGCTGGCAGAAGAATAAACTTGGAGCTTAAATATTATGCAGTTATCCACCTCTTGGAGTTTAGATTGTGAATGGGAAACAGCAGAAAAAAGTTGGTCCCATATGCATTTCTTTGCCTGTATGAGCCCGTGATGCCTTATGCACACAGCCCAGGGCAAAGACAGCATTTTGTGTGGCTGCACACCCACATTCAGTAGCATCAGTTCAAACAAAAATAACCATTTTGGAGACAAAAATAAAACAATGAGTACTGCATATCTGTGAAAGCACCAGCCCTGAAATATAGCTGAGCACAGATATGAGGCTCTGCAAATCCTTCCCATGAGAAAGGATACTGGAGTAGCTTTTCCTGTGAAGCAGGAGAAATAGGAAGGCTCCTGGAGACCAAAAAAAAATGTTGGGCATATTTTTTCTTCTTTCTTTGAAGAAAGGTTCTGAGTTTGAAATTTGAGCTCAACATTTATAATGCTTGTATTTATTATAGAGTCACCAGTTCACAGATTCTCTAGAATGTGCTAATACCTTTTGCCCAAATGAAACACATGGTCATTATAACCTCCTGTTATATTTTTTGTTAAATAATATGAGCAGGAATGTGGCAATGATATTCCACTAATAATAACAACAACAACAATCTTTGTATGCTGTGTCTTAAAAACCTCTCTTCTCTGTCTTTTTTGTATGTGTGCTTCCTCTCTGTTGTTCTTATTTCTGAGTGTTTTACAAAGTAATATATAATCATGTGCAGGACTGGGGGTGTAGGAAACTTGAATTTTCCCTTTCATAGTCACTCTAGGTATGGACCCAAACCAAACCATCCCCTAGTTCATGCTCTCTCTAAATCTGCTTGTGCTGGCATAGAGCTCAAAATGATTGCACACACCTACTCCTTGTATTCCAAGTACTTTAACTTTTACAGTGGCTGTTTGGTTTTTTGGTTTTTTTTTTTTTTTTCTTGATTTTACCAATGGAAAAAAATGAAGCTATTTTGTATTAATAAGAAATTCCTCAGCTTGGTTGAGCAAGCAGATGTTGAGAAGAAAATACATCTCTTATCATCTTTCTACTGGAAGGTTAATATGATAAGAATTCCATTCTACTTACACTGTAATTGTTCTTTCAGAAAAAGGAATCTGTGATTTGAACAGAGAAAAGTGCAGAAGAAGAATCTGCAGGCCAGACTCAAGGACACATCGGTGTAAATGTTCTAGTGGGTTTATTTTAAGTCGAAATAAACAGTTTTGTGAAGGTAATACATTAATTCGAATCAGCTTTATTCCATCACATGAAAAAATTCTTCTGTTCTTTTACTTATTATCTTGAGTTTGAAAAATTACTATGAGCTTTTAAAAATTTAATTGTGCCATTTCAGTTTTGTGTCTTCCCAAGTCTGAAATAGTTTTAAAAGAGACCTATGAAAGTAAGTGCCATTCTTGTGAGAAATTTTGGTCTTAGTCTGAGTAGATAAAGGAGCTTCAGAAAAGTAGAAATGCTTATGTGTGATAATTGTTTTAAAATAAGGATGACATTGGATGTATCACTGAAGGTGAAACTTGCAATAATCCAGCAACAAGATGTCTTTCTGAAGCATCATTTCAAAAAATTGAAATTCCTAGAAATTCTTTAGAAATTCTAAGTATTTTTATCTGGATTGTTTTATTAAAAATCTAAAATTGCTATTAATAATAGATAACATAATAATTTTTAAAGCATCTCAGATTTTATAAGACGTAATGGCATCAGAATTCCTAGATTGCAGGATTTACAAACTTGCCTGAGCATCAGTATTCCAGTTCTCAGGAAATTCTCAGGTTTGATTCCTGAATATTAGCTTTTACTACGCTTGTGTTTTGAGGCTTTTACTTAAGTTATGTTGAATCCAAATTTTAAAAAAGAATCTTTGTTTTAAGAAGGTGTCAAATGTACATGTTTTGGATGTGTACAGGATTTAAATTGAACTGGAATCTGTATGGAAAGGCATCTATTTCAAAGTCCTCTAAGCACCTATGCTGAACACACAGAGCATAAGTACATTTTGCTAGAAGGTTTATAACACTAATTTGAATGAAGTCTGAAAACTTGTTTTCTTACAGTTCATTAGGAAAAACACATTTTTGTGAAATAAATGCAAAAAAAGTATGTACTTTTTCAGACTGTTACCTTGTTTAATGAATCTTCATGAATCTATTCCCTAACACAAGAAGGTTTTTTGTTTGTTTGTTTGTTTGTTTTGTTGTCTTTTTTTTTTGTTTTGTTTTGTTTTTTGGTTGTTTTTTTTTTCCAGACATTAATGAATGTGGCTTCTGGAATCATGGCTGCACTTTAGGCTGTGTGAACATCCCTGGTTCCTATTACTGCACCTGCCCAAGAGGCTTTGTTCTGCTGCCTGATAGGAAAACGTGTCATGGTAAGGAACTGTAACAGACAAGCACTTGGAGTATCCTATTGGAGAGAGTCCTCATTTCATACTGGAATTGCTGAAAGTTTTGTGGATTGCATTGCTTGCTTCCAATCCCATGTTATGTAAGCAGGATCAGCTTAAAGTGAGTGAACTGATTTCAGGTGTCATGTTTAAGGAAGTGTAAGTTACACGTGAGAAATTGAATATGCTTCTTCAGAGAAGGAACAAATAAACAAGTCATGTCTCCAGAGAGACCCCTTCTCAGATTAGGCCTGGTGACACATTCCAGGTGGACAAGCAGTTATGTATTTTTAAATGTGGTCTGAATTTGGCTCATTCTCTAAGGATTTGCCCAGTGTCTGAAAGAGCAGCTCACAGCATCCTGTATTTTCTTTTCAGATCAGGGCTGACAGCATTGCTAATATGTATGACTTTAGTGGAATTAAATGTGGAATTTTTATGCTCAGTCTACAAATGAATTAAACCTTTCTGGAGTAAGTCTAGAACATAAAATGTGAAAAGCTTCCAAGTTTGTTTTGAGGTCTTGGAATATTGTCAGTCACTTTTGAAGTGAAACTTATGCATAGACATAGGTCCTTCTACTTTGTTTCCATGGAAATAAAACATTGATATAAGGCACAAGCAGGAATGTCAGTGCACACCAATGAGTTTTGTGTGGATCATGGCAGGATAAGGATCTAGGGTATATTAAATATCACTACTGGAGAGTAAATATAGCCATAGAATCTAAGAGACTCTAGCAGTCAGTCTATTTTAGACTCCAAGAGTCCTGGGCAGGGCCAGGAGTTGGACTCGATGATCTCTGTGGGTCCCTTCCAACTCAGGATATTCTGTGATTCTGTAAGAGACACTTCTCTTTATTAAGAGGGAGCCAGGAGCAGGATTCAGTGACCCCAGCGTGGGGGTTCAGGGTGTGTGTGAAAGCTGCAGTAGGCATCCAGCTGCAGCAGAAGAGCTATGGGAGGGCTGCAGCCAGAGGTTACTGGGAGATGGGATATCATTTTGCATCCAAAACAAGATTTAGACACTGTGCAACTCAGTCCTACTTTGGATGAGCAGCTTGAACTGTATGCCTGCATTTTGAGTGGCTCAAATTAGATAGAAAAGAATGTTTTTTTAGCACAGGCTAAGAATGCAGGATGGACAGTGTGACCTCCAGCACAGGGCAGAGGGTCACCAACTATGCAGTTTGAGAGAGAGAGACACAGAAGATGAGAAGCCCAAATGCTGGCCAGAGATTTTGATACTTTGTCCTCCAAGTCCTTTATGAAGCTCTTCATCTAAAGACACAAGCTCTGGTCAGAAAGAATTTTCTGGACCCTATTCTCTGTGCTGAAGTGGTTAGCACAGTCCAGTCCAGAAACTGCACTAAAGAAATACTAAAAAAATATATGTTGGCGCTGAAATATTTCTAGTAGCAAGTAAAGGAAAGATATAGCCAATTTATCAGATAATTTTGCCCTTAAAACTTCTAAAATTGACACTAAGGAACATAGTTTTGTTTCTGGAAGGTTCATCTCTGGTTTTGATTATCTGAGCTCTTTTATACGTGGAGTAGTAGGAAAGTAGTTCTTCCTCATTCTCTTTGTCTTTTATACTTATTCTATCAGTACAGATTCCTTGTAGTTTTTAAAACCTGCTCTATTTTTTATGAAATATAAGAAAGAAAGTTTTCAAAATTACTTCTATTTTGATAACATATCTTCAGAGAGTTTTGGTAAATTTAAGGCTGGTAAGCATAATGGTTCAGGACTCAGCAATTTTGGCTTTCTCCTAGGCTGAAATTAGGAGAAGGTGTGGAAAAAAATTTGGGAAAGTAAAACAGAAATACAGCATAACAAACCACAGAAAGACTGCAGAAGTGTTGTACTCTAAACATCACACTTCTATTTATTTATGTATTTATTTTCCCTATTTTTTCCCTTCTTCTTCTTTTCCTATTTAAGAAGGTGTTAACATCTCTTACTGGGGACTTAGTAAAAAATTTTATCATTATTTAAGATTTCTTTTCCTCCTTAAATTACTGTAGAGATAATTACCTGTACAAGTAATGACAACGAATGTAGTCACGGCTGCCTTCAGACATCTAAAGGCCCTGTTTGCTTTTGCCCAGAAGGATCTGTACTCAACGTGGATGGCAAAACATGCACAGGTAAGTAACATTTTTCTTAGCTGAAATGTCTGCCAGGCTCTGTTTATTCTTGGCACCAAGAGCCAGAAGTGAATGAAGGCATTTTACACTCATTTTGAACAGCTGTAAATGATTGTACAGTAGAATGTAAGGTGATTTGAGTGCTGACATGAGCAGTATTCATCTTCATTTTTTAAGAGATTTTTAGTAGCAGCAATATCTAATATTTGCTGGCCAAGTTCTTTTGATGTCAGCACAGATCAAGGCATGTCTCAGATTTTTGCTGTGGGAGACATCTAAAAATTATGCTTGAGAGGACATATATGTACAAAATTAAGGCTTAGGTGATAATTTTATTGGCATCATGCACCCCAGATTCAGAGTCACTCTAACTAACCCATAAATGGAATTTTTTCAGTCATAATACTTGAAGCTGCTATACTCAATCTGTAATTCCCCACTTCAGCAATTTCAACAATTTTCCAAATTCAGGGGACTGTAGCTTCTCAACTTCATCTTTTCAGTCTTAGGGGTCAAGATATCTCCATTACTAACAGCCTTCTGCTGTGAAAAATCTTCTTTCCCTTCTAATCCCTTTCATACTGTGGACTATACTTTATACATAGATTCAGTCATTATTTCTGTTTTGCTAGCTCGTGTTGGTATTGAGAATATAACAGAAAAAAATACCAAAAGAATGGATTCTTTTTACATGAAATCTTGCTTTTTCTTAGAAAGTATCAATTTGTCATCCTAGCCTAATTAACTTCTGAGGAGACAATGGCATTAATTTGCTGTTTCTTTGCATGAAGTGAAAAGTCTGATAAAATTTATTACTCTGATGTAGATGAGATGAGATTTGCATGGGAGAAGAATTCTCTGAAACACATTAAAGATCCTCTCTCTTTACATATCCCGCCCTTTCACTTTGTGTTACAACACAACATCTTGTGTTGTAAATTTTCCCTGAAAACCTGGAACAAGTTACTACTAATTTGCTTTCACTTCAGTAGTCTTCTGCTTTCAGCAGAAGGCCTTTTGGTAAATCTACCAGTCACTGAGATAATTTGCACTGTAGAAATCCTGAGCAGGGTGAACCATTCTCTTATACCTCTGATTTTGTTGTATTTTATTTTTTTTTTAGAACGGCACAGTAAAATTTTACAAATGCTCTGTTTAAGGTTGCACATCTCCAGATAATGGTGGCTGCAGTCAGATATGCTCTTCTTTAAGCCCATCCTCCTGGGAGTGTGCTTGTTTTCCTGGATATAAGCTTCAGCGAGACAGAAAGCACTGCACTGCTATAGGTTGGTGTCTTGGTATGCTTGCATATTTCTGCCAATAAAAGCAAATTTTTTTGAATTCTTTAAGGTGGGTCAAGTGGGATCCCTTTATACACTGATTTTGGGTTACTCTGTGAAACTTTGGAAGTATTAGTTGTTAGGAAAGACAAGCTATTTTGGAAATAAACCAGAACAAGCACCAGTATATGGTTCTGTCTCCTTCACAGAAAGTTCAGTCTGTGATCCATCTTCATCATTTCACTCCGGGCTCCCATACAGTGGAGCTCTGTCCTGCAGTACACAAGGTTTTGTGCCTTCACATAAATATGGACATAGTTCCTGCCCAGTGTTACAGAACTGGGGCTGAAGTTGCTGTATTTGGTGAATAGGATAGGGAATAATCTGTTTAAAGACTTTCCATACATGGATATTTCTCACCCACTGGCCCCAGGAAGCCGAGGTGTTTGATGCGCATGTTTGGATTTCAGACCCTTCTGTTTCTTCTGAGAAAAGGGCAGAGTCTGGTGATCAGCAAGATATAAGCAATTGCCAAAGAGAGAGGAAGAAAAAGAAGTTTTTGATTTTGATTTGTGCCTGAAATAAGGGGAAAGCTGTGTGTGGTTTTTGTTTTTGTGGTTTTTTTTTTTTTGGTTTTTTTTTTTTTTTTTTTTTTTTTTTTTTTTTTTTTTTTTTTTTTTTCTTGGTTTTACTACAAAAGACTTCTCCATATGCGAAATTCAAGTTATTCTGGCATTTATAGTGATGCTGTGAAATGTAGAGAGATGACTACCTCCAAGCTAAGCCACTCAGTTTGAAATTCAGCAGGACTAGTGACAACTTTTGTCAAAAATGTTGAGGCTGATGCTGTAAACTTATATTCACATTTATCTTTAATTTATTAGGCAAGTGGAGTGTAGGAAAATTGTTGTAATTTCTTTCTGCCTTTGCTTCTCATTTTGTCTTTTACTGTTACTTATTTACAACACTGCTTAGGTAGTAATGCAAGTTAGAGATCACTTTGAAATTAGTGCAACTAACATACTGGCAAATTTTAATTGACAGGTCCTAAGCCATTTTTGTTATTTGCAAATGGCCAAGATATCCGCCAGATCAGTTTTGATGGAGCAGATTACACAAGTTTACTTGACTGGCAGATGGGAGTAGTCTTAGCACTGGACTCTGACCCGGTGGAAAATAAGGTAAGGCATTAAAAATGAGAGGATTCTGGAGTGTTGCAAGGACAAAAGGATTGAGCCTTCATGTGCCTTAACCTTTCCTCTGTCAGTGATCTGGATTACGCATTATGCCGCTCGTTGTTCTGCTGCCTGTCTGGGAATACAACCGGTATAGGCTGCCAAACATTAGTTGAAGAGTTTCAGCCTTAAAGTATTTATTTTTTGTACATTGAGAATGATAGTTCACATAGAATTTGGATGTGTAAATTCACTTCAGACATGATTTCAATTTTAAAGAATTTTTGTGTGAGTTTTCTCTTTTAAGACTGCAGTGTTGTTTTCTGGAAATATATTGTGGCGTTTTTTCACTGTGTAGTGGTACAAGCAAATATCTTCCATTCTATCCAGCTAAATCTGTATGATCTCTACTAAGTGTTGGAGTAATCTTAACAAGGATTACTTCCCATGTCCTGATATTATTGAGCAAAATTGCTGAATGCTCACAGAGTCTATTGCTCTTCCCCAATGTGCTCCTCACATATTAGATAGTGCTTTTGGAAGCAGGAATCTTCTCTGTATAAAGACCTGTTTGTCCGTGTGGCCACATCCTAATGTCCTACTCCTTGCGTGCAGAGTTGGAAAGGAGTTCAGGTGTGCTTTGCTGAACCTTCTGTGGCAGAAAGTTATATTTTCCCATGGAGAGACTTATTTACACTGTAAAAGTGTTGCAAAGAAATACTGGATGGTACAGTGAAAGCTGATGAGGAGCTCAGTTAAGTTGTTGGAAGCATCTCAAGGCCTGGATGGACACAGATAAACAAATGTGAATGTTGCCAGATCTGCATTTACAGGAGGAGCACTTCAGGCACTTCAGGAACATCTCCCAAAATAGGGCTCTGCTGGAGAGGCAGCAGTTGCCCTGTGCTGTGCCAAGTGTGGATCAGCTGTGCCAGTGACTCTGGTGTGCACCTGGTACCCCCTCCTGTGCTGTTAGGTGTCAGTACAGAGGTGGGGGGACATGCAGGGGGCCAGCCAGGCTGCAGGAGCCTGGTCATGTCAGCTGAGTGGCAAGGCAGCACCCCTTTGTGCTCTCAGGGTGTTGAATTAACTGGGCTAAGGCTAGAAGCTCCCTCCTGTTTTGTTTGATCTCATGGCCAGCATCAAAGCAAAGTTATTTGTTTTGCTGTCACAATTTCCAAAGTACTAGTTTTGATATGGTTGTGCCATACCGTGTTTGTATCCTCTGGTATTGGGATGCAAGACAAAGTTTACACATCCTTGGAAAACACAAACCTAGTTTCCCTACCAGCAAAGAACTTTTGACCCCAAACTAAAAAACTGCTTCTGGAAATGTTGGAGCCTTGCAGAATAGACACCTTGTAAAAAATTAAGATATCTGCAGGATAAAAGAGTGGAAAAAATACAAGTAAATTTTATAACTCCTTTTCCCTTTCCCAGCTCCTTGATGTATATAGAGTGCTACTATCTTCTCCACACTTCTCCCTTTTCAACATAAGCAGCCAGTGAAGTGACAACGTGCTTCTTTCTGCCTGTTCCTGCTTTTGCTTCCTCAGCTGTGCTTCATGAAGTAGCTGCTGGCTGAAACAAAACTACAGGATATTCAGAGGGCTGTATGTAGGGCAACCAGGATTTACAGCTAAACACAAGCTGCCTGTAGAAGTCATCCTGGTTGAAGGATAAGTGCCTTTTTATTTGATCAGGGATCATGGGTTACCTGTGCAGCCTTTTGTGAATAAGCAGTTTAGGGAATTTTCCAGATGAAAAAGGTGTTTTAGAAATGGAGTTACAGGACGGAGGAGGTAGAGTAGAAAGTAAGATGAGAACTAATGGCACCTTGTCTGTTATTTATTCACAGATTTACTTTGCCCACACTGCCTTGAAATGGATAGAACGGGCGAATCTGGATGGTTCAGATCGTGAAAAGGTTGTTCATGGAGCTATAGATACACCCGAAGGCCTTGCTGTGGACTGGATTAACCGTAAATTGTACTGGACAGACAGAGGGTACATGCTCCACAGTGCATCTATGTTGAAGCATGCCATAAAATATTTGGAATAAACGACTGGTGATGCAGAAATAGCTGAGATATCATTCTAATTCAGTAGTGCTTCACACTCTGATTGGGTAGTTTTAGTCTCAAATATATATGTTGGAAAGTTTTTTAAAGCTAAAATGCTGGAAGTTCACTTGTAGTCTGCTACTGTATTTTTATCTTTGTCTTTCCAAGAAGCAAGGGTTTGGACTCAGTTGCAAGGAATCTAGATATGTGCACATATGCATATGAATATATTTTCTTACACTGCTTATTACATACTTATGCTGCATGTGACTGTGTGTGTATGGGTATATCTTTGTGTGCATATCTATATCTATATACACACATACACATATATACATATAAAAATAATATTACTGCATTGATTACATTGTGGGCAGAAGTCAGTGCTGCTGGCAGCTGGAGTCATGTTATTGGAGAGTCTTTGTCAATTATCTCTGATAAAAGAGGAATGACTGCTGCCAGACTATGTGACCACTTTTCAGCTGATACCTAAGCTTATATGCAGAGGGAAACAAAACTGACCTTTGATGAAAAGGCAGTTTCAGATCACAACAGATAGTGAAGACTCCTTGAAGAGTGGTCATGAGCTTTCAATATGATACATAATTCATTAGTCAATAGAAAGTAATTTTGAGTGTTTAGACCACTCTCCTTCTCCATTTTAAATATTCTTCTAGTCCACTTCCTTGCTTTTGTGTACAATATTGTCACATGATTGAGTTGCTGTACAATTATGCCAGTGTTTCTTGTGAAATGGGAGATTGTGGTGCTTTTCTCCATAAGCCAGGAGTTCAGGGGGAATATGAGAATTAGAACCTGCAACTTCCTTCTCACCCAATTTACCCAATTGTATTTCACACTTGTAGGAATATATTTCTCCTATCTCTGTGGGGTCTCTTTTTGAAGGTTCAAAAAGGCATGGAAGGCTGTAGGCTTGCTTGCAAGTAGAGGCTGATATTTGTTTGGCAAGATGAATATTGCAGCAATAAAGTCAGTTTTCTGGAAAAAATGTGAATTGAAAGATTGACAATGTAGATTCTATACTTGACTTGGCCACAGATTTTATGAGTGATCTTAAGAACCTTAGCCACATTTTTTCCTACAAAATAGATGTAATATGTAAAATGACCACTGATTTCTGGATGAAAAATGCTATGTAAAAGCACTGTTTAAAAAAATTCTTTACACATTTGGTCATGGTATTCAGTTAGGAGAAAGTTTTCCTCCTGACTACTTTTAAAGCTAGCATTTATCTATTAGTGATCATACTTGCAATTCATTATTCACCCAGAGAAGGAGAACCTCATGTCTTCTGCAGACCAGCAGGTATTTTGTCATCGTGCCCTGGCCCAGATAATGAAGCTGTAACATTAATTACTTGTTGATAAAACAACTAGACATCCCACATCAGCAAGATTATTTCCTGTCACTGTGAAATTATTTATTACAGTTAAACTAAAGCAGTGCAAAATCTTAGTACATTCAGCCCAAGAAAGTAATTAAAAAGATGGCAGGGAAGACCTAACAGTGCTCTGTGTGTTGCAGGAAGGTGTGCATTGAAAGGAGCAATCTGAATGGAATGCAAAGAAAAATGATCATCTGGGAGGATCTCTCCCAGCCCCGAGGGATTGCCATCCACCCATTTGCTAAGTAAGGAGTGATAAACACAATAAATCATGTCATTCTTGTGGATGATTTTTAAAAATGGGTGTGCAAGCTTTGCCCTTTTGGCAGTCAAAATATGCATTACTCTCATGCTGGGTAAGTCATTGCCTTGCAGAGCTGTGTGAACTGTAATGTTTTATTGAAGGGTTTCTTTCATGGGCTGGGACATGTTCATTTCTCATATAGATTTTAGAAGAAAATAATTGGAGCATTAATGATACTGTATGCAGTTTAAGTCAAAGATAAGCATGAGAAACTGAGGTCACTGACAGCTGTAGGTGCCACACTACAAACCTTTATGGTTCCATATCTAGTAGTGTGAAGAAGGTAATTACTTTTAACCAGCAATGCTTACAAAACTGCCTTTTTTATTTTTGGTCCAGTTTGGTTTCGGTTTCAGAGGAAACTAAACCTAATGTACTGTTCTGGAGATTTTTTTGTTTTAAATGCACCTTGTATCTTCTTAACTAGTGTTGAAATTATCCCATGTGTTTAAACTCTTGATGAAATTCTGGCTGTTTCAATCAATGGTAAAGTCCCATGGATTTTTAATCAATATGCTTGTAGTTTTGATGCTCATATCCTGCTATAACTAAGTACTGATGAATCTGAAAGAAGCAGGTTTGGGGAGGGTGTTTTGCTAGCTTGCCTCTGCCCATAGAAGACCTGAAAGAATCTTTCAGTAGAGTGTGAATGTTATAGAGACATTTTGTAGGAAAACTTTGAAGAAAGGTAGGTTCTGCCAGATTCTTTACTAGAATTATTGGTAGGCAAAACATTCAAGGGGAAAGAGAGGAGGAAACACCATTATAAAACCTAACTTTTTAGAAAGTTAATGGTGAAAGGATGAACAGACATTATGACAATGTCCATAGTTGTAAATATTAAAAAGGGATATGAAACACAATTACAGTTCTTGAAAATACTGATCCTTGCATTAGTTAGAGCAAAACTGCTTGTGTAACTAAAGCTAAGTGAATCCCTGGGTTATTTCAGTAAACCTGACAGTGGCAACTGGTGCCTGGGAAGATGAGTCCAAACTTCAGACATTATTTGCAACTATAGATATCTCCATTTAGAGTTGCCTTCTAGCACTTTCCATTGAAAACAGCTAAACACTCAGTGAGTAACACACAGGACTCTAGAGGGAGACCCTGAGAATCATGATGTTATTAAAGGAAGAAGGATTCTGAACCTGATATTGGTGTATTTTTTTTAAACAACCTGCCTAGTCTTGTTTGTTTTCCATGGGTAATGAGCAATTTTAGTTTTATTTGTTTATTGTTGTATCCCTCTTTAGACAAGGGTCTGGCTAATGCATCATTTTCTGTTGTCTGGGTTTGCTAAAACACCGTCAGCTGTCACATGGAAACTCAAAAAGCAGATATGAAGAGCTGTGGCAGTTAACTTAGTCAGGAGTTGTTTTCCAAAGGTTTCATGCCAGTGAACAAGTGAGGATTCTGCATAAGTCCCAGTGCAATCACCTGGAGTCTTATGGCAAGCGTGAAAAGATCAGCAGCCAATATGTTTGCTTGAAGCGTGCACTTTTTCTCCTGTGAGTCAGGGCTGTATTGCTGTGATCTGACCTTCCTGCTTTGAAAGAACTCCATGCAGAGGAGGACAAACATTTACTTACTGACTTCCTGTATTCGTGTTGTTTTCTGAAGGAGATTATTCTGGACTGACATGGGGGTCAATCCGCGGATTGACAGCTCTTCGTTAGAAGGCTTCGATCGCCGGGTGGTAGCCAGCTCTGGCCTGGTGTGGCCCAGTGGAATAGCTCTCGACTACTTGGCTGACAAGTTGTACTGGTGTGATGCTAAACAGGCCGTGGTGGAGAGCGCAAACCTGGATGGTTCTGGTCGTCAGATTCTTGCACAGAATGATGTAGGTGAGGCTTTGGGGTTGATAATTACCTACTGCTGTTTGTCCATGTGTGTGCATCTGCATATGTGCATGAAAACTACCGGCCAGATGCTGTGCTATATATCCCATGCTATGTTGAGGTTAATGACAACACTTAAGTTCTTCATTCTGTTACCCAGCTGACTTTTATTCATTTTAGCAAAAGCATGTCTTTCTAACACACTCTGCTTTTATTAACGAGTCATTTTGCATTGCACAGAGAACTTCTCTGCCTTCACAGAAAAATGCAAAGAATCAAAAAATTAAAAATGTCGTTCACTTTTCCCATGCATGGCTGCTTAGTTTAATTCAGATTTTGCTGTGTTGATTGCATCAGTGAGTTATATTGACATAAGAAGAAAGGGAATTAATCTAGGTTGTTAAGGTCCTTGAACAGCAAACCTGTATCGGCAATGTTGAGCACCAGAAGGATTCTAAACACACAATAGATACCAAATGAAAAATGATGGTAGTTTTTATGGCTAAGATTTCTACTGCTGTGTTGTTCTGGAGCAAGAGAACAGAGATGTTAGCAACACGGAACTGATGTTATACCACATCCAAAGTAATCGATGTGTTTAAGAATCTTGTACATGGCAAATTAGTTTCTGGAGAGGACAATTCCTTTTAATCATGGAATCTCTCTGGGGATTGTAGGTGTGCATACAAGACATGGGCAGAGTGAGGACTCATAGCTCAATATCATGACTGCTGTGGGTAACTTTATGGTTACTCTGTTGAGCAGCCTCTGTTCTAGTCTGCGCTCTGGGAAGGCTTGTGTTCATCACTTAAGCCAGATACCCTCCCAGTCCTTTGGAGGTGAGTGAAATGAGGTCCTGGAGGAATCAGTGTTCTTCAGTTTATAAGACATCAAAAGGCTCAAGGAGAGACACTTTCCAGCCTTCTTCTCTCTTCCCTTTGCTCCTGTGGCAATTGCCTCCGCCAGGCAGATCTGCAAAGGAGGACCTTGAAATCTGATCAAAGTTTTGTTTTGTTTCTCCACAAAGAGTAAGACAGTGTCTTTCAGGGAGAAAACAGAAAGGAGAGCTAGGAGCACTATAGAAACACAGGTTATGAGAAAGGAGCAGTGATAGAGCTGTTTGGAGGTGAGAGAAAAGGACATGAACATCTGTATGCAAGGAAGTGAAAGAGATGAAGACCTGTAGGGGGATGAATCTAGAGAAGCATGTCCTGATCATTTGCTAATGTTGTTAGTGAAGACTGGAATTCAGTTTTTGTTGTTGAACAGCTGTACACTGGAGGACGGAAGGTGGCACCTCTTCATAGGTGCTCTGTTACTACATGAATTTTTATTACAGCAGCTCCCTCTAGTGCCCCGTACTGAGAGCTCATTCAGTAGAGCTGCGTGACAAACAGGTGAATTATTTCCTCTCTTCCACCTAATCCTATTTTCAGCTGTAAGTAACACAGCTCATAATAAGCTGCCCAAGACAACGAAGAGCACAACTATCCCTTTTGTTTATGCAGTGGGTCGCATTTGTACTGTTCCTGCTGCCTCCACAGACTGACACTACGCTTCTGATTTTAATCCTTAATGTATTTGCAAAATAAGAGGTTAATACATTGCTAGTCAAAGCAGAGTGCTGTTTATGAATAGTGCAAACCACAGATCCTAAAACTGTGAGGAAATGTTTGGGTGGGGACAGTATCTAGATTTTGGTCTAGTTGTTCAAATTTAATGGGAAGAAAAGGTAAGAATCAAGATCAGTGATTAAGCATGGGTCAGTGGAGGTAGTTAGCTGCCAATAATACACACTAAAGAACACTTACACAGTGTCTTAGATTTTTTTTTGTTCAGGACTGTTTTTTTTCAGTTTGTAAGATGAATTTAAGATATATCAATACATACTCCTTTCCCAAGATTCTGATTGTTATCTGTACTGATTATTTGTTGTTTTATTTTCTTGTCTTTGATTTTTAGGGGTTTCTTTAAGATAATAGATGTTGAGATCCCAATTTCATTACTGAAATTAAACACTGCCTAGTTGAGGTCTACATCAAGAAGCAAAATCACAGACCATGAAAATCATGTGCTTAAAAATCATACCTTTCAAGAGGGGCTCACACTGCAGTGGTACAGGGCAGTGCCACTGAGGCCCTAAGGACCACAACAAAGCAAACCCAATTCAGCCAGGAACCATCCACTCTGAAGCCAGATATACATCCATGGAAGAATAGCACGTGTTCTTACCTTCTATTGCAAAAACTTGCCCAAAGGCTACCTTGATAGCAGGAGATTCCTGAGTGTATAGAAAAAATGCATAGTCCCATATGGACTAATGACAATTTTCTATCTTGAGATATTAGAAAGAGTCAGAATCATTTTGTAAAGATCCTTATATCTGCCATTATTTATATGAAATTTTCCTTTGGATTCTGAATTGCTGAGCTTATCTCTGGAAGTCAAACTAGAGATTTGAGTTTTCCTAGTGCAGCTAATGTTGTGCTACCAAGAAAAAGTTCCTGTGCTCCGAACTTGGGGTGGAATTTCATACAACTACTGTTAGTCCTGTAATTGTTAGGTGCCTGGTTGAAGCTGGTGTCTAGGATCCTGTTGTCATCAGTGGAAAGAGAGGAAGTTACCTGGATGACCTATTGCCTCCTGTGGCTTATGTTAGCTGGCTATATGCCCCTCTGCATGGCCCTTGCATGTACTCTGGGTGCTTGCAGAGGCTGCACACAGGCTTGGGGCCCTACCAGGAGTCAGTGGCTGCAGTGTCTGTAGCATCCCCATGCCAGGATGCTTATGCAGGATGACACATGCCATGAGCTCCTTTCCTCCTTGTATTGTGAAGACTGCAAAAGGGACTGTGCACCTCAGCAGCTCTCTGCACAGGCCATGCAGTGGCAGAGGAGGGAGGTACTCTAGGTCTGAAGGGCTGGTCCCAAGGCTGCCTCAAGAAATGATGATGTGTGAGGTAGAAGCATCTCATGAACTAGATCTGGTTGGAAGTCACCGGAAGTATAGAGTGTGTACTGAGCTAGGCACGTGTCACAGCCTCCTTTGCTAAGAGCACAAGTAACCTGTGCCCCTGGTCCATTGTCCACAGACACTTACCCTCTCCATGGGAAATCAAAGTGGAGCACTGGCTTTGGCTAGCCCCCTGTTTTAGAAGTTGATCTATATGCAGATAATGCTTTCCTTTACAGGGTTTCTTGTGTGGGTTCTACAGATGTGGAAATGATAAACCTAATGTCTTTGTAGGCCACCCTTTTGCTGTGGCGGTGTTTGAGGACCACCTGTGGTTTTCTGACTGGGCTAGGCCATCACTAGTGAGGGTGGACAAGAAGACCGGCCAAAACAGGGTACGTCTTCGAGGCAGCATGCTGAGACCCTCATCAGTGGTTGTAGTTCATCCTTTGGCGAAACCAGGTACACTGCAAAAAATCAAGCAGTCATTCCCTTCCAGCCTCCTCTTGTTCACTGATACCTATAGATGTCCTTGGATAGAGGATTATCTTCTCAGAAATAGGCTCTTTAAAAAGCCTTGCATAGTGAGACTGGCATTTATTGAAAGCATCATCTGGGCATGTGTCCCAGGAATGCTGACAGATTTATCTTCATTACCAAGAATAGATGCTGATCAATTGCCATGAGGCTACTACAGTCTTTTAATTCCTATTTATCCTAGTCTATTAGCACCCCACACACACCAATAATAACAAATGACATGGGGAAAGATTTTGTGAGATTTATTAGTTTTTGATCAAATAATTTGATTTTCTGTTGAGAGCAATCTCCCTGTAAGCAGAAAAGAATAGTGCAATAGACCAGGACTGAGAGAAGGTAATCACAGGTTCCTTATGTCCTTGAAATATTAGGACTCTAAATATCAAAGCAGAAACAATAAAGGAAATTTAAAAATGTGGTACCTGCATTAAATACGTAGTACATGAATCTCTTTTCCTGACAGGGGCTAGGTGATAATATCTATGCTTTACTATATATGTTTGCTGTTACCAAAAAAGAAAAAAAAAAAAAGAAAAAAAGAAAATCATAGTTTTTGTCAGTCCTTATTCTTTTTCCAACTGCTTCAACTCTGCATGTCTAAACAGAGATGTTGACTGAAGAAGCAGTTTGTTAATTTTCCTGTTTTTCTTCATTAGGGGCAAATCCTTGCCTTTATGAGAATGGAGGCTGCGATCAGATCTGTGAAAACAGTTTTGGAATTGTCCACTGCAAGTGCCATCCAGGATTTGGGAAAACTCAAGATGGAAAATCCTGTCATGCTCTGGATTCTTCCAACTCAACAGCAGGTACAGTCCTCCAGTTCCCGAAAAGACTCCCCTCAAACCCTTGAGGATCCTGACAGGTAGCACTGGAAAAATTCACCTTGCTCTAACATAAGGAATGATGATGTCTCTGAAGAATGAAAATGCTGGAATGCTGTCCTTGGGACAACAAGACAACAGAGATGTTGTCTGACCACTGTAATTTTTCCCTTGGCATTTTAGCAGTGAAAAAAGTGTGTAGTGCTGACAAGTATTGTGTGCAATGAGTCACATTCCTTCTCTTTTGTATTTGAGAAAACTCACCAGTGAGTGCTTTTAGGAATAATTTGATGTCAGAAACAGGTTAGTCTGGGAGGATACTGATGGTTATTTTAAAAGGAAACCACCATGATTATTGGAAAATAGACAAATATTTGAAAATCAGATATTTCAGTAGATTTAAATAGTCCATGTCATCTTTTTCTTGTCTTTTTCAGGAAGTGTCTCTGTGCACAAGGAGGTAATGCCAATGCCACCACCAGAGACTGTACTCCAGAGCACACGGAGCACTAGTATTTTTAAGGATGCAGACAATGGGAAAAAACAGAAAATAAAATTTTTTACAGCTGAAATAATGGTATCAGGTATAGTCTGATGGCTATCTTCCTTATGTTTACTCTGCGGCTCTAAACAGCTTCAGAGTCTCAGGTTTATAGAGCAGAATGAAGTAATAGACCTTAAAGAAAGAGAGGTTCATTGTTGAGATTGGTGGTATTCATGCTCGTAATCTTCTAACAAGAGCTTGGGTCTGTGCAATTATTCCAGGTAGGACTGCTTGTTTTGTTTGTGTCTATATTCCTTGGCTACATCAACAAAAATTGATAATATTATCCTGGTCTAGAGAACAAACATTTCTAATTTGGAACACTTGAGAAAATCTCCCTCTTAGGTCTTTAAGTATATTGCATTCCTCTAAAAATGTTAAAATAAACCCATTGAATTCTATATATCTCTGATGACATTAGAGCATTAACTTTTGCAATAGGTTTTGAATAAAATATTCAGAAATCCTGATAGTAAATGACATGTCAACTCCATCTAGACAAAGAACAGCTGCAGTGATTGTGTTGGCTTGTCATTATTAATCCTGGAGAGCTAAATTTCAAATTTTAACTGTATGTTCTGTTTTTCTTAGTTTGTTTTTCTGTAATATAGATATACACTACTTCCTTTGATATTTGCAAATAGATCTAGTGGTTTGGTTTTTCCTTTTTGGTTTGTTTTGCTTATGCCATAGATGAAGATGACTGCACTGCACTAGAATGTTATGTCAATGCAGAGTGTGTTTTGCTGGAAGATGGTGCTATGTGCCAGTGTTTGAAAGGATTTACCAGGAAGGGGAAATCATGCTATGGTAATAAAAACCATTATTATAACTTTTGAAAAATTTTAGACTGGGAGGAAGGGTGAAAATCTATCTCCTTTCATATTGGCAGCTCTGCTGTGTGAGGCGTCAGAGAAAGGTCAACAGTATGAAAGGAATGATGAACTGAGAGCATGTGAAATGAAATGGCTAATTATCACATGCCTTTTCTTTCCCCTTGAGCCATGAGTGTTAATCCTATTAATATTAACAAGCAATAACATGGATAATATAAATATAATGTATTTATTTGTAAAATTTGGCTAATTATAAGAGCTCAGTCCATAGACATGTTAATGTATAATTTAGACATAAGGAATATCTTCAAAATTAGTATTCCTGATGTAATATTTATATAAAAGTGCTGCACTAGTTTCTTTCAAGCACTAGAAAGACTCTAAAAGCCATGCAAAACATTGCTCAGGGTGGTCTTCAAATTTCTGGACTTGTTTGCAACATAAACGGAATAACCGTTTTGCTCAAGAAAGGTCAAGAGAGGAAGGTGTTAGAAACAGAAAAAGAATACCATTTGGCGGCTAAGCATGAAGAGACTCAGGAGAATCTGTGTTACTATGGAAAGGGAAAAAATTGTAACCTGAAATGGGCATACATTTTTTCCACTGTAGTAATTTTTCTTTTTTTAAGCCTGTGTTTTCTTTTAGGAAACCAAGTTGCTAAATGCTCTTAGAGGTCTTTTCCAACTTAATGGATTATATGATTCTATAACATAAAGATATTTTTTTTATCAGATCACTTCCTCTCAACAGTTATTTTTAAAGCAAATGATATTTGTAATATCATTTTGTTGGCTCTCTTGGATTTTAGAACACCCCATCAAATTTCATACCAAAAAAGACCACAAAGTCCCCCTCTTCCCATTTGCTTCACGTGCACAAATGCCAAGTGACAGCAGAGTCTGAGGAGATCCATGGTGCAGGTGTCTCCGTGTGTGGATTGAGGCGATGGTTTCGTGACCCACGTGTCCTGTGCCTTGCTGTGTCCCGCAGACGTGGACGAGTGCGCTGTGCACATGGACCGCTGCAATCGAAGCGTGGCCGACTGCATCAACACGGAGGGGGGCTACGTCTGCAAGTGCCTGGAAGGCTACACTGGAGATGGAGTCCATTGCTATGGTATGGGCACGTGTGAGGGCTCTGCCCTGTCTGGAAGGCTGAGGCGTTTCTGCCTTTGTGGTTCCTTCCTCCCTGTTTGAATTGTGGTAACCTCAGCAATTATCAATATGCAAAGCTTGTAGTTGTCAGTGAATATCTCCTCTCAGTGTTTGCACTCTTTTTAGTGGCTATAGAAGGAGAGAGAGGAAGAGTGAAGGGGAGGAGGGAAGTGGAGGTGAAGCAGTAGAGCTTTATTGGAAATCGTTGCCATGAATATAAACGAAAGCAGGTATTGAGTGTGTCATAATACTCATCAAATAATTCCAGGTCTGTTTAATAGGCATGAGGTTCAAGGTGTGACACTGACAACTTGAGTACATTTAGAGTCTTGTTAATAATCAGACCCACTGATTTTCCCATCCAGCTGTAATACCAGGTCTTTAGTTCATTCCCTACGTCTCTTAAATTCTTAATCCATTTTAGTGGTAAATATGAGCAGGAAGCTTTTTCTCTCCAGTATTTGACTAGCACACAGTTTTTTCAGAGCTTTATGGGAGTGTTGCCTTCCCTTTTGTCCTTTTCTTTTATTTTTTTCCTTTCTAGCCTAATTCAAAGCCCAATAATTTTGAACCAATTCTTACATAATCTTTACTGGACTTGGTTCTTCAACACTGATTAGGATGACTTAAAAATGAAGAACAGTATCATTATTATGGGTAGAGTGTGGAAAGTATCAGAGGCAGAAGAATCTAGAAGGCCTTTTGCCTACAGGGGTCAGAGAGAGAGCTCATGTCTTTGAGGATGTTTGGAGGTGCAGATGGAAGTGCATACAGCAGTGACAAGGTCCTCTTGCTGACCCAGCACAATACAGAAGGCTAGTCCTCAAGCAGCCCTAGGCTCTTACTATCTTACTTACCACTATACTGTGGTATAGTTATTCAGGATGTAGTGGCTTCCACTGCCATTGAAAAACAGTCTATTATCTTCCTGAAGTCTTTAAGTCCAAGTCTTTAGTTTAACTGAAACTGATTTTGTGTTCGATGACTTGAAATGTACAATGAAAGCCAGAAACTGGTAAGTGATTTTGTGCTTCAGTTGTAAGCACCTGCATTCATGCACAGTGTCCAGGAATGTGATGGTATGTTCAGTGATAACACGATGAGTTCATGTGGTGTTGGTGAAATCACATTTCATGAAATATGCTGCAGCAGTTGTGTTCCCCTTCCCCCCACCCCCTTTTTTTTAAAGTGCTCTGAATTTTCTATACTGTTTTGAGCTAGATCCAGTTAATTTTACTCTAGAAAAATTCCAAGCAGTTTAAGCAATAATTTCACAAAAATTGGGGTAGCAGATCTGTGATTCCCCAAAGCAGACCCAGCACATGTATTCTGCTGACAGCTCATAAAATGAATCAGAGACTCCCAAACTCTGCTGTGTGAACCAAAGGTTCCACCTTTGAGGGGGGTGCTTTGGTGCTTAGCAAGATTCAGGTGGCCAGCCTGGCAGGTGCTGCTGCCATGGGCTTTGGAGAGAAGGTGTGGGGGCGGGAGGAGGGTGTGCAGCAGAAGGGGGGTGAGAGATGTGTACAAACCTAACATGGTCTCTGAGCCTGGAAACTCTTGTAGTCAGGGAGCCTCTTGACAGTCTTTCAAAACCACATTTCATGGGGAAGCCTTGCCCTCCTTCTCCCTGTGGAGAGTTTCTGCAGCACAGGCTGCTCTTGCTATAGAAAGTATGCTGGTTGCTTTGCCATTAGGCTTTCCATGAAGGCAGATTTGCAGAATGAGAGGTCTCTGGTGTTTTTCTCCACTGCCTGGGGAGCACAGTGCTGCTACTGCTGCCCTTTTAGCTGATCCTCTGAGGCATTTCATTCCTCTAACTGCAGCCTGTTTGGGTGACAGATATTGATGAGTGCAAGACGGGGTCCCACACCTGTGGAGAGAACATGACCTGCACAAATACAGAAGGAAACTTCACTTGCTCTTGTGCTGATCATGCTTCTGGAACTGGCGTCGGTTGCAGTGAGTAAACGGAGTGAGCAAATAAAAAAAGAGGCCCTAAATTAAGAGCTGTGTCCTTGGATAAATTGTTATACCTGGAAACTAAAGATTCCCTGTATAGTAACATTCTGATCAGGTTGTGGATACATTTAGCATTGCCTTTAGGGGGTTGTTTTGTGGTGGACTAAGGAGCACAGATACAAGTTTAGTAAGGAAATATCTACATTAAGGTTCAATGTAAATTTTTTACTGTCTAAATGTACTGACAAATCTATCAAATATCATTTACAATCTACAGCAGAAGTGAATGCTCCTTGGAAATAATATTTTTTGAGGGTAATTTCAGTCTGTGCCATATTTCAAACTCCCTGTGCCTTTTGTTGTTTTGCAGAAGGCTAGCACATGAAATGCACACGATTTAAGTGCCATTTGATTCTTTAGTATAAGCTTATCTTTCAGTTCAAGTCACTAATTGTTCAAAAAGGCTCTGAAACTCCTTAGAAAATCTGATTATCAATTTACTGAAGGGAACTGCTAAAAGTCCAGCACTAGTGACTATCTGACCTTCGTTTTGGTGCCTCAATGAGGTAGCAGCATTCTCTGAAAATGAGAGTGACTCATTCTTTTACTCTGTGTCAACCCTCTTGGTCAGAGTAAATTTTACTCCAGATTGAATAACTTTCTGATGATGGAGGGACAATGTGTGATTGTCACAGAGCTGTTTCTTCAGAAAAACAAGGAAATTACGGATTTCTTAAATAGAACACCTATCAGGATTCCCACTCCCATTTCAGCCACTTAATCTGTCCGTAGTTTCAGGTGTCACTCAGGAAATGATGATTTTAAATGATGCGTGACTTGGAAGTAATGTTTCCTAGGTCCCTCATGTGTCAGCCTGATCCCATGTCTTTATAGCTGTTAACACACTGTTTTAGCTCTTTGACTAATAAGTTCTTTTAGCAAAATGAAATTTTCTTTGCTGAGTGCATGCACACCTGGGGTTCACTATAATCACTCATCCTTTTCCATTCAGGCTCTTTGCCATGGCAGTTCTCTTGAAAATGAAATTTTAAAACCCAAATGTCATTGAAGGTCATGTTGCAATAAAAGTGGTGTGAGTCATAGAACTGACCCCATAATTGTATGAGAATGATTAGGCGTCTCTGCTAATCCATACTGCCAGAAATTCTTTGCCATGTAGCTGTTTTGTTCTGACCTATAGGCTTGTTGTAGAACCAAAGTAGGCATAAAAACACTCATTTTCTGTAAGGGCATGTCTGCACTGTGGTCATGCTGTGCAGAATAGTAATTCTACCTTTAAAACTAGCTAGTTTGGATAGGTGTGTACCTGGCAGCATGTGTGATTCAGAGCAGGCTGCAGAACCCTTTGGCAGAACCATAGGGCTCCCTGCTCCCCCAGGGAGTTCTGTACCTGAACTAGCCTGAAACAGTAAAAAATGTGATCTGCAACCACACATACATGCAATTAACTGAATGGCAGCAGAGTAGAAACATAAGAATGTATAAGAATGACTAGTTGCTTGTGAAAGCTTCTGAGTCTGAGATTCAAATGCATGAAATACAGTCACCCTTCACCACTGCCTCTCACCCTGGTAATTTATGCATGGTAGAGATTTACCATATGTCAAAGCTGCATAAGTTGCAAAAATAATTTCAGACTAAACACCCGGACAGTTGGTGCAGTTTTTCTTCAGGGTCGGGCTCATACATCTAAACACACAGAACTCAGTCAATCACTGTAGGTCTTTCACTGTAAATCTAAAATATTTAGATATTTATATGTTATATTAGTATATTAATATATTATTGTATCATACTAATAATAAGATGCATTTATATTTGTATATTTATGACTAGTATTTCTAAATAATAAATTATAATAATGAATAAAATACATTTAGAAATAATATTTACGTATCAACATATCATATTTAGTAATCTGATCTATATTTCTACTTGCCTAAATTTGATAACAACATAATGAAATAGATAAAACCAAGTAATTAATAGAAATTGGATATTTTTATCTATTTAGTACCTTGAAGTTCTGGAACACTTTCATAAGATTATGTTGCCAATGAGGCCAAAGGTTTGAGATGTCCTTGTGAAACCATCTGTTTCAGAATCTACTGTTCCCCCAGCTGCTGCCAGCAATGAGTACACTACAAAGGCTGTGCAAGGTGATTTTGTAGGATGCCCTCCTTCGTACGAGTCATACTGCCTCCATGGTGGAGTGTGCAATTATGTTTCTGACCTACAAGACTATGCCTGCAAGTAAGTACAGAAATTTGTATTTTCTCTGCTGAAGAATGGCACCCTTGAAATGCTACCCTCAGTTTGCTGCAGGCAGTGAAGGGTTTGTCCATGAATGATCTGTTCATCCCTCATGTCACATCCTCTGGTGTCAGCATCTTCCAATACCAAAAGGCAGAAATGGGTAGGCTATAACTGCCCTCTTAAAAACAGAGAGAGTTACAATAAGACCTCAAATTCCCCTGTTGATATTTTTAACCCTGTCAATATTTTTGTGAAGCCTAATTCTGGGTACCCCAAATGCAGGTACTGATAAAAGCAAGGAGGACCTCATGTCTCCAGAAGTCAGTCTTGGCTTGGTCAATGTGACAACCAAGTCCCATGGGGTAATAATTTCTTCAAAATATTTAGTGCTGGCATTTAAGTGTGTAACCTGATTATGTTTCAAGCTGTACTCATAATCTTTCTCAAAATCAAGCATAAAATCTTTGCAATGGGACAAATCCATTGCCTGCCTCATGCCTCCTCCCCAGGTCACAGGTGGTAAGTGAGGACCTGTACAGGGAGTGGATGCTGTTCCAGGGTAGGAAAATCTCTCTCTGTGTCTCAGGCTTTCCTATTTTGAAATATGAGTGGTCTCCCCTGCCTACAGACCTCTGTACCTGTAAGAATATGAAAGGAATGTGTTTCATGTGCATATGTGGGAATGAAGTTGATGCTTTATGCTGTGGATCTCCTGAGCTCAGCAAAGCCCTTGGGCAAAGACATTATGGGAGACAGACTCGTGGTTACCTCTGGTACTTGTTTTGAATTCTTAGTGTAACTTTTAGAGGCAGAGTAAGCTATCTATTTTCACCTCAAAATTTCTTCTCTCAAAATTGAAGAGTCTAAACCTGCAGAATTTTAAAATTGGATCACTATATTTTTTTTTCTTTTAATTGTTAGGTTTTACTGCATCATGAGAATTCAGATATACATATTTTTTCAGTTTTGGAAGTGGAAGCAGTTAAAAAATTTAAGAGCAATCATGCTTAACCGTGCGGTTGGGGCTTGTGTGTGGGCGTTGCTGGATTCTGTCCCCGCTGAACCCTCACTAGATGGCAGCATTCATTCATGCAGGCTCTAATGTATTAACTACCGAAGGGAAGGAATGGAAAAACTTTATCTAGCAAAAATCACATGCCAAATGTGATTTGTATTTTAATTAATAAAAGATCATACACTAGAAAGTAGATCTGCCAGCATGTTTGAAATTCATTGTAATTTAACACTTAAAAATTAGCATTTTTTCTGCCTTCCAGCACACCTGCATTCTAAATTTTAATGGAATGAGAGTGTTTGTGCCTGACTTAAGAATGAATGCTGATATAACGTTTTCATGCCATTAGGTAAAAGCTGCTGCAGTTTAAATCCTGTTTCTTTTTCTCATTTTACTAGCTCTTGGACTTGAGTAAAATTAGACCAATTAGAATTGTGGTGAGTTTAGCCTACATTGCCGAGCGATTGTTATAAACAGAGCAAACTTTTAATTTTTTCCAGTTATTATTTATGTCTTGCCTTGCATAATAAAACCAATCTGGGATTATTTTTTTATGTATTTCTCACTTTCTAGTAATTTTGATTTGAGGGTTTCATGCATTGATAGGCTATTTCTATGTTGGGTTTTACAATGGTAAAATCAAATAAATAAAGAAAATTGGCTACAGAAGAAGCTTATATTAAATGTAAGTTTTGAAGATACTTCTGAATCCTATGCATGGGCTTTTTAAACTCTTTCATTCATCTTTAATTTTACAGTAAAGATTCAGATTAAAATTTGGTTCTCTTAATCAACTCACCCTGAAAATATGAGTCAGTCCTGTCCCGTGTACTTTAAAGAAAGGGAAGCTTGCTGCTGAAAGAAGTTAAATGGAAAATCCTATGGAAACACTAATCACACAGCAGGATTTACAGGACTTAAGAAACCTTTTTTCCTACTTTTTAATCCATTGGAATCTGGTAATGACAACCTCTCTGTATAATTCTATAGTGAAAAATAACAGCACAGGAAAAAAAAATACTTTTAATACTGGATTCTACAGGTTTCAACAGCATACCTTTAAAATTATTTTGTCTTCGCCACTGCTAAAGAGAACCAGATGCGATCAGCGGTGAATCAATGCACGGTGACGGAGGTGGCGGTCTGGGGCTGTGCCCTGCCCGCTGCAGCGTGTCCCTCTCTCCTTGCAGCGGTGTGCCGGGCTGTGAGTGCCATGCCCGCTGCAGCGTGTCCCTCTCTCCTTGGCAGCTGTGTGCCGGGCTGTGCCCTGCCCGCTGCAGCGTGTCCTTCCTTCCTTGGCAGCGGTGTGCCGGGCTGTGCCCTGCCCGCTGCAGCGTGTCCTTCCTTCCTTGGCAGCGGTGTGCCGGGCTGTGCCCTGCCCGCTGCAGCGTGTCCTTCCTTCCTTGGCAGCGGTGTGCCGGGCTGTGCCCTGCCCGCTGCAGCGTGTCCCTCTCTCCTTGCAGCGGTGTACCGGGCTGTGAGTGCCCTGCCCGCTGCAGCGTGTCCCTCTTTCCTTGGCAGCGGTGTGCCGGGCTGTGCCCTGCCCGCTGCAGCGTGTCCCTCTCTCCTTGCAGCGGTGTGCCGGGCTGTGCCCTGCCCGCTGCAGCGTGTCCCTCTCTCCTTGCAGCGGTGTGCCGGGCTGTGAGTGCCCTGCCCGCTGCAGCGTGTCCCTCTCTCCTTGCANGCCCTGCCCGCTGCAGCGTGTCCCTCTCTCCTTGCAGCGGTGTGCCGGGCTGTGAGTGCCCTGCCCGCTGCAGCGTGTCCCTCTCTCCTTGCAGCTGTGTGACGGGCTACGTGGGGGAGCGCTGCCAGTTCAGCGACCTGGAGTGGTGGGAGCAGCGGCGCGCCGGGCGGGCGAAGGTGCGGAGCATCGCCATCACCGCGGGCGCCGCCGGGCTGGCCCTGCTGCTGCTGCTGCTGGCTGTCCTGGCTGCCTACTGCCGCAGGTACCGCTGCCAAACACGGGCCCAGCTGCTGCTGCTGCTCCTGCTTTCACGGAGTGCTTGCGGCCGAGAACGCGAGCTGCTCCTCAGCTGATGGGAGTTCCCGTTCTATTTAGTAACTGGATCTGTGAATAATACAGAAAGTTCTGGCACGTTCCTTGCCCGCAGAACTCACATTGGTGCTAGGGAGCAAACATGTCTGGAGGGAAGGAGAGCAGAGCTTTCAGAGCTCAGGGACATGCCATTTAGTTCTTACTGTGTTTCCCTTCACAGCTCTAGATGTCTGAAACCCATGGTAGGGGGTGGCTCATCTCTGCTTTTGTTTCCCATTGAGTGTAGAATTTCCTCGCCTATTAACTTTCTGAAGGCAAACTTATAGAGTGATGCTTCCAGCAGTAAACATGGAAAGAGTTTTCCTGGCAGTAAAAAGAGTAAAATCAGGGAAGTGAGTCTAAGCACATCTGCTGTAAAAGTACTCCCTGGCATTTTCCATGGCTGTAATGAATTGCGCAGATTTGGGATTCTTCCTGTGGCAAAAAGAATTCCAATGGTCACTATTTAAGAACCCAGTCTGATGTGAAATTAAATGTCATTGGTGTCCCTTAGACTGGAAAGTATTAAGCATTTAAGCTAGAGTCTTTTGGCCATGACCTTGGCAGACAGCTGTTCTCAGAGGCTGATTTAAATGCAGGATTTTTGTTTGTGGTTTAGGTCAATTTTAAAATTAGACTCCCCTAGATATAAAAAAATAAGCTACAAAAAAACTTAACTATGCAAGTTAGTATTTTTCATTCTTATTTAATGGTTCTTGGCATATTTAGTCCACAAGAGTAGGGAAGGAGCAACACTTCTTATTTTCTATTAATTAGTGACAGGAGTCCCAAATTAAAGCTAAGTGCAGCCTATTTTTTTTCTCATAACCTGGGGTTCAGATTTTGATCAGTGGATATATAAAGAACAGAAAAATTATGAGATTCTTACATTTCTCATATATTTCATATGTTGTCTTACGAAAAATTGACAGAATATGTTTTGTTTAAAGGCATGAAAGTATTAAATTTCTTCCCTTCCTCTCTCTTTTGTAATTTCTGCCAGATTTATGTTTCTTTCTTGCAAAATGCTTTTGATCAATATAACTATTTACCACAACAACAGGTTTTCAATTACACACTTGACTGAATTTGAACTGCAGCAATTACTAGAATAACTAGATCAAAATTAAACCGCTGATCTAAAATCCCTATTTAACTGGAGTCTGAGAACCAGTATTTGGGTTGAAATTGCTATACCACTTTTTGAGAGAATCTGCTGTATTTCAAAATGTACCAATTAAGTCTTTGATAGTCCTGTTCCTTTCCCTGCAAAACAAAGATGCCAATCTCCTTTTAATTGAAGGAAATGAAGCTGGAGGTCTACACCTGTCAATTTGAAAATGTGGAAACTGAAGGCCAAGCATGCTGAAATATTGTGTTGGTTTATTCAATTACTGTTGTCTGCTGAAGAGCACTGTGTTATTCTTAATGTTAGGTTTATGCAGTCTGACTGTGTAGTATGCCAAGTTTCTTATCTTGGAAAGAAAAGAAACACCTCTTTTCCACAAAAAAAAACCCAAACCTGAATCATGGATTCAATACCAACAATTCCTTCACCTCAATTAACCAAGGCCACCCAAAGCAAAATTAATTTATGTTGTATTTTATGAAGGGAGAAATATATGGTAATTATGCCGTGTGACCTTTCTCAGTTAGTATATAAAAGCTATGTAGAAATAAAAGGAAAGTTCCTAAATAAAAGGACAATTCATGTTTTCATTGGTAAATATCGACTAAATTTTATTTAAAACAGATAAAGCAAAAAGATTTTATAATCTCAGACTTCCATAATTCGAAAACTATAGCATTAATTTTTTTAGTCGGTGCTTAGAAGGGCAAAAATGTGTTTGTAAAGTGAATAAAGACGTACTTACTGATTTGGATCTCAAAAGAAGTAAAATATTTTTTTTCTTTGGGCCCATGTGGGCTTTTAATACTGCCTTATAAGAGATTGCTGTTTAACTGCAAAAATAAGTCTTTGAATTTATGGAACTAGCCTCTTAGAGATGATTATTCATACCTTTTCTAGTTCCAGATTGTAATAATAGATTTTTCCCCTAAAGCCAATTCTTTAGATCATGAATTTTTCCTGGAGGATCTTATTTCTAAGCTTTTTGAGACTTTCAGTTTATTTATTTCATAGTAACTTCTGAAACAGTTGCTTTGCATAAATGATGCAGATGAATACAAAAGTGACTTTCATAATTGCAGCTACCAACAGTGTACAAAAATACAGTCAGCTTTTTATTTCTGAGCTTCACCCACAAACACTCTTCATTGCATTGACTGAAATAAATCTTTGTAAGATAAATGTATTGTAAATAGAATAATGTAAGAAAATTGAAGGGTCTAGTTAAAATTATGAGGCCTATTGTTCATTGCAATGAAAGACCCTTTACAGATGGCACATTGGAACAAGCATTTGTGCACTTCTTACTGACTTCTTTTTTTGACAAGCTATTTGTTTTAACCACTGTGTGGTAATGGATAGCAATACACAAACCAATGAGAGAAAACAAAGTATATGTACTTCTGTGAATACTGATAGAATAACGTGTGAAAAAAGCATGTGTTCCTCCCAAAGCAAAATAATTTGCTTCAGCTTTTGTTCTGTTGCAGAACTCAGAATTTGTATAAGAAGAATCTCTGTGCAGAAGCGATAAGAGCTGCCAGCAGCCGTGCTGACAACGAGAGCGTAACACCTACTGGCAACAAGTCTCTGGTAACTATATTAATGTGGAGTGGAGAGGGAATCAGGAAGGATCAAAGAGTGTTAGGGATCCACTTGAGATTATCCATCAAATAATTCACATCTTAAATACATTAAATAACTGCTAGAGTCATCAAGTGCTTTGCTGTGAACCCTAGTTCATCTTACCTCATTGTTATCCCTCAAAGTTCACAGCTGCCTGGATGTATTGCAACCATTAGCCAGTGTTATTGTTAGCTTTGAACACAACAGTTGGGGAACTGTGTTCTAAATTAAGGAAATGGCAATGTGATGACATGGTATATCACACAGTTATTTTCACAGGAAAGTATGCCCTCTGTAAAAAAGCCTTCTTGGGAGCCAAGTATTTTGTGTGCTACATGAGATGTTGAATTCTATTTTGAGGCTTGATGAAATTAAATATCTTGTATTAGAAGCTGCTGCCTTGTAAAGAAAAACAACCAGGATTTTATCAGGCAGCTTGGTAGGATATATAAAGTTCCGGTTTTACACTGGTGTAGGTAAGAATGCTGACATGGTCTGGTTGTATAGGCCTGTGGCTGTTGTCATTTTTGAAGCTGTATTTAGCCCTATAAAATCTGGCTTAAGAATCTGGTTCTGACTGGCATTAGAATAACACACTGCTGGGTGATTGCAGTTGGAACTTGAATCTGTCAAGTAACATAACTGGCATCCGTGGCTACTTCTGTGCTCAGTCTGAGACTCTTAGAATGGCCTTGCAAATGGTTTAGTGAGAGTGGCTGGCAGGACTTGTGAGTGGGTAGCCACTGTAGCACACTGTCAAATGCATATTTGTAGTACTGAATCAACTTGACACTGGTTAGGGCATATTGTTCCTTAGCTAGTCAACTGCATGCTCTTATGCATGTTTAATTATCAGCACCTTTCCTTCAGATATTGGACAGCAAATGAGCTGTCATGGCAATGCCATAATTTGTCCACAGAAGAAGTAAAATCCACAGTTTGTAAAATACCCGAAGTTGAGAAAACAGAAACCTTTGCTGGGACTGAGAACAGTTCACTGCCTGGGAGCAGTGCTCTAGGAGGCCTGCAGTCCATCAGCTCTGTTCCCACCTTCTGCTGACCCTGCAGTTAATGCTGGCCACCAGTGACATTTTTGCTGAATATAAGGTAACTAAGCAGCTAAGCAATGGACTGGATCAACAAAAAGAAATCACATTTTTACATCTATTATACATTTTGTTATGTTTCACTATGCACCAGGAGACATTGAATACATTAATAAGGTAGTTTATTGCAATGACTTGTTGCACACTGGAAGAGGAAATCACTGACCCTTTGCTAATTACTGGTGCTGACTCAATAATAATTGCTGTGGTTTCATGCATGTGATTTTCTCTGTGCTGATGTAGCCATTGATCGTTAAGTTCACCAGGGCTTCCTGCATGCATACACTCAGGTTAGAATATCTAGAGTTGCCAAAAAGCTGTGGGAAGTTGCCCACTTGTACTATTCACTTCAAGTAGGTTATTGGAAAGCTTTCTGTAAAAAAAAGGTTACACTACATCAGGGACAGGAAACTACAGCTGCTCAACTTGTAAGGTTTTTGGGTACTACACAATGTTAATGTTGTTAACAAAGGACTTCATATTGGGTTGTATCTTGTATATGCAGTAAATGTAAGGAGCTCATGAATTTCACTCATTAGGTAGTCCTCACTCCACTGCTCATTTGTGAGGCTGATGAGAGAGTGCAAGGACTTGCTCGTTCTTGCCTGTCTGGGTTGATACAGAGGATAACGAGATTTTGTGCTATTGCACACATCGAAAGTTAGGTATCATGACACTGAAACTATAACTACCAATTGGCCAAGCATCATTCACTTTTCCCTTTACTTATTTTCTGCCAGGAGAGGGTGCAATTAGCTGCGGGTACATTAGCTGAGGGTATGCCTGCATATTTTTTTACATTCATATTAGAGTTCCATAAGCCAGCCTGGGTTAGTCCTACTGATATGTAGGACTAACATAAACTTCTGCATGTGCCTGCATTTTGGTGCTATTCTGAGACTTCTCACCAAGTGTTTTGCTTTGCACAGTCAAATATATTTTGCAGAACTGTGTGTAGCTGAATCTCTGCTGGGGGTCTGTCACATATAGAGTAGCACTGTAAGAGCACAGATTTTACATAAATGAATGGATGCCTAAATAGGTGCACCTGCTACATGTGTATTCCATCCACATCAATTCACCAGTTATCTACCTGGACCCCTGAATCTATCAGTCCTTTGGTTGGAACATCTTACTCACAGATGTTTTCTCTTCTTCCCTGTCTCTGCTCTTTAAACCTCCCACCTTTAAGGGTCTTTTCCTCTGTACAATTTCATCATAGTGTTTCACATTGCTTTCCTCTGCCCCTGTTTTTTCTGCTTTTCCCCCTGGTGCTTTTTGCATGTTCCCCCAGAGGGTCTCATCTTCTGACTTCCATTGCCACTGTGGCGTGATGGATCCGCATCCTGCAGGAGCTGCTGAGAGCCAGGAAGGGAGGCTTGTTTTCTTCCATGTGCTTGGCAGTTTCCTGCTGTCTGGATTCCTACAGAAAAGTCACCCTCAGTACTATGGAGAGGGTTGATTTTCATGAACTTTGGGCCTTGCCATTGGAAATGTTGATTTGCAAAGCAAGAGAGTTGGTAGTTCTTACCTAGACTGAGACTGTGCACTTTCCAAAGAAAGACTGGGGCTGTCATCAACTCAAATGTTTAATTACCTGCAGGGGGAAGGGTCATCCCAGAAGCCAGAACAACCTTTTTCCCTGTTCTGTGGTTGGTGTGTGTAGCCCTTTTAGTTCACCTCTTGGGTTTCTCAGAAAACCAATTCATTTTTTTGTTAATTTGGGCTCTGCATATTTTGTGCACATTGTATGTATTTGCAGTTTGCGGTTTTTAAGGAGGGTAACAGTTCTCTGGAGAATAAAGCAGTTGATCTAATTGAATGTGAGACAGCAGATCCTCATCCTGCCTGTCCATCAGAATCTGGTGAGTAGGATGTCCTTCCTTATTAGATCTCTCTTCACTTTGTACCAGCAGGAGCAGTGGCTGGTAGAGGAGACAGAGAAATCCAGATTTTATTTCTGGCAGAGCCCATGTTTGTATTTAAGTGAAGAGACCATTCAGTCCTACATTTTGCAGATTAGTAATGAGAAACTACACTTACAGCAATGCTTTCACACAGGACAAGCCAGAGGGTTCTTGTGAAAGAATAATATCAGATGTTTGCATTAATATAGACCTTACACTGTTTGGGAATGGATGTGCATGGAACAGTACACTTTGACAGTCCTTATCCGTTCAGGCAGGATAACTGAAGGGTGTGAGGAGTCCAGGTTTCACCCCGTGGCAGCAACTGCAGTTCTGCTTTTTGTGTTAAACAAGATGTTTGACTGCTTGGGGAGTGTCTGGTGCGTAAACGAAGATAAGATGAATGGAGGAGATGCACCTTTCATCACTGGTCCAAAGGCAGCAGGTGGCACAGAAGCACAGAATGGGCTTCCAAGGCCCTCAAATTACCAGCTGAACCACTCTGAATTTTAGGAAATACTGCCTTCTAGGTGGCAACTGGATCTGTTAATTGCTCAGATAGTGAGAACTGATGGAGAAAGACTAATACCCTAAGACATTAGTTTTATTTACCATATATACTTCCAAATTGCAGAAGTTACTAGAGAAGACAGTTTGCCTCAGCCACTTAGAAATATGCAAATACAAATGTTTGAGGATACAAACATCCAGGCATCTTGCAAGATTTTCAAAATTGTCAGTCCTGTCCTTAGATATACACTGAGTAGTCACTTTATTAATCAGTAGAAAATGTGCCTCACATTTACTTAGATGCACTAATATTGAGAACATGTGTAGAACCTCACTGTCCAGCAAATGAAGACCGATGTTTCCCATTAGGAAAAACACTGTTTTCATTTACAGCTTTATCAGACGCAGGTATTGGATCAGAAATTTCCTATGACAGGTGTCTGATTTTTTCATAAAAGTTTTAGCAGAAGTGTTCCACCCTCTTAGACAACAATATTGGTAAATAATCTGGTATTTTTTAACATGTTAAAGGAAGTTCTTATGCCATGACAGTGAATAATTGTAAGATCTTTTGACTTTGAAGAAGAGACTTTAATTTTGCCAGACAGGTAGTCTTAGCATGCCTTTCTTTGTTATGTATTAAAAGAGAAAACCATGAATCTAGCCTAGGACAAGTGATTTCTTAAAATCTGAAGCAGTTCTTGACTTTTCCTGTTTTTTTTTGTTATTTTGTCATGCACTGGTATTGAATCAGATTCTGTGCATTCTTTCACAGCTTGCTTCTCTCAAAGCTGCCTCTACATTTCTTTTAGCTTAGCTGCTGTGAATCTTTTCACATGTAATTTTCTGTAATACATATCTGTTTTCTCCAGAGGAAGAGCAGCCTGTAACATATGACAAAGCAGCAGAGACTTTGGCAGAAGAGGAGAAAGAACAAGGCCACCGAAAAGAGGGTCCTGTTGGTGAGAAATCGTGCCAGCCGATGGCAGCAGTGAAAGTCCCTCCCCAGGCTCCCTGGAGCATCCATCCCAATCCCCTGCCAGAAAGGGAGCCTTGCAATCTTGCCCCAGACAGCTTGCTGATGCAGCCAGACTAGAAGCAGTCTGTGTTTGAATGGGAAAAGGAGGAAGTCAGCAAAGGATGGGAACTCACAAGCACTGAAGCAACACTCTTTTCTTTTTTTCCTTCATTAAAGTCTGCTTTAGAGAAAAAACACCATTATTCAGAACAAAACAGTCCTTGCCACTCCTTTCCTGTCATCTCTGCTTGGAAGAATTAGTGTGAGCAATGTGTTGGCAGTGAGTACTCTATAAGTATCACTGCTGCTGATTTCATTACCTGCCTGCTAAAAGGTCACTGGGAGGAAGATAGTCAAGTGGGTGATTTATCAGTGATAAGTATTTTCTAAGGGAACTTGTTGCAAGTAGTGATCTTTACACAAACAGAGTTTAGAAACTGCCTAGAAAATGGAGCACAAGGACAGCTGCAGAGAAAGAGAAATTGAGGATAACGCAGAAAAAATCAATTCAAAATGCTCTTACTATTAAAAGTTTTTTACGGATGCTATTTACCTCCCCCCAATGCTGCTGAAAGACCAGTGTAACTTCTTGGATTCCACCTGAGATGTTCTTGTGTCTAGCAAACACCAAATAGGATCTTGCATTTCTCATGTTTTGGAGGATGGTTTGCAGGCATAGGTTATTAATGATGGGTCGCTTTTGAGGGAAAAGGTGATTCTTCCATTTTTTTTTTTTTTTCCCAGCCTACACTGGTCCTTCAGAGCATTGCAGGATTATATTTGGGCTGAGGAAGTGGGTTTGTGTCTGCTTTCAGCCCTGCAGAGAGGCATGTGCTGGAGCTGTCCTTGTCTTACAGAGGTGTGCCTGGCACCAAAACCTGGGCCATTACATAGGACTCAGTGTGAGGACAGAAGTTCAGCCAATTGCTGTTCCAAAAAGACCAGGAGGAGTGGGACAAAAACACAAAAAAGCCACCTCAGTCTAGACTGACTTCCACTCAACTGATTTGTGCTGCCTGTTGAATGTGAGGGAACAATTGGAAAACTGAACTAATTTATCTTGTAACTGGATTTCTAACACCTATCAGGTGATTTACTCTCTTGTAAAGCGAGATGCAGACATGAGGCCAGTTGGTGAGAGCATGGGGCCGGATACACCAAGGTTGTGGGTTCAATCCCTGTACGGGCCCTTCACTTTAGAGTTGAACTCGATGATCCTTGGGTGTCCCTTCCAACTCAGAACTTTCTGTGATAGCAAGTGATTTTCACCAACTTGTCTTGACTTCCTAAGGCTGTTTTCAGAATGTTTCAGCTGAATGAACATCAGCTAAATTACTAATAATGATTTTATTATTTGTACAGGATCTCTCAGTCCTCTGTTTTTGAAGCCTGCTGTTGTAACCTTTAAACTCTGCTATGGTGCCCACCACTAATGTTCCTTGTAACTCATAAGATTGATAACAGTGGCAAATATTACTAATTTGTGTGTTTACTACTCTGGTTTTCTGGGTTCTTTTTGAATTCTGCCAGAAAAGTATGGAATGTTGTAATTTCCTTTTACCAGCTCTGTAAGCCAATATGGGAAAGAGTATTGAAAGGCTCTTGCCTCTTATCCAAAAGAGTTACACACTGGAGTAACTTTGTGAAGTCAATTTTATTTTATGTTATTGAAACAGTAATGACACTGAATCCTGGTTTTGTAGAGGGTTGTCACTTATTTAACTTCTAAAGTGATTTGGAATTGTTGAATCTGTTTTCTAACCATATCAATTCTGGATTCAGAACAAACTTGTAAAAGACTCATTTCCAAAGCTTAGTTGGAACTGCTAGCAGTGAAGGCTCATTCTCTTGTGTGAATGGTAATGAGGGTACTTCCACAGAAAGAGAAATAGTTGAGAGGTGTTGGCATATTAAACTCTGTTCAGGAGCAGGCAACAACTGTGTTGAATCATTAAGATTTGATAGATTTGATTTTAAGTTCAATATTGTTTAATGTCACTAACATTGTTCAAAGCATCTAGTTTGGATTCCCTGGTCTTTTGGTCACTGATCTTCTGTATTTTAATGTGAAGTGAGTCCAGGTGTAAAGGCCCCAACTCAAAAAAGCATTTTGTTCCCTCCCACAAGAGCTACCCAGTAAAAAGACTTTAGTCCCTGCACTTTGAGTTTCTCTGGTGAAGTGTGTTTGTGTGCTTAAAATGAAAGTGTTGTGTCAAATGACAGTCAACATTTCCTTGGAAGCTTCCCCAGTCAAAAGAAATAAAGATTTGTAACTTTGAATCTTTCCTGAATAAAGATGCTTCAGATTCCTTAAAAATTAGTTTGCTATTCTATCCTGGTTTGTTTTGTTTTGTTTTGTTTTTGTTGGGTTTTTTTTTGTTTACTTCGCTTTTCTTCCTTTTCTTCCAAGGATCTAACTTTAAATTTGATAGTATCCATTACAGAATAAGATAGGGAAACCAAGCTGATATGTTTTTGTAATTAGAGTGTTTGGAGTTTTAAATATTTCCTAAACACAGCTCTAAACTCAAAATAATCTTTAGTGTAAAAACTTGAAATGATGTTTCAATATAAATATAATATATTTGGTTTATTTGTATGTTTATAAAGTTATTGATTTATAAAATAAATAAAAAAAAATACCAGACAAAAATCCCTGGTGTCCCTCTTGTTTTAAGAGACGAGAGTGCACAATTCTGGTTTCAGTTGACTCACATCAGGTAAGCTGAAAGCTCCACTGGTTTCATACAGCCACAGTTTATAACGTGTTGGTGCAGCATGTGCAGGTACCATGGGTTTCTCATTCTCTGCTCAGAGAATCTAGACTAATGAGGATTATCTGCTGCAGCTCACACCTTGATCCCACCTTGAATATGGTAAGTTTTTTATTTATATTTTATTTGTATCTTCTCATAAAGTAAAATCCATATAATCCTTTTTGTTCACACCTAAATGACTCTTAGGAATGCTGCTACTTATTCATCTGGAAATATAATCCATGTCTTCAGCATCTGTTTTCAAATTGGTGGCCAAGATGTTCTTTTCAGGCTTTATATGCAAGTCAGTTGAACTAAAATAGCTGAATCCTGGAGATTGCTCAAATTTTTTTGGCTAAACTTTTTTCATTGAAAATGCTTTTTAAAATTATTAGAATTTCTGTGCATGTAAAAAACTTAGTATTGATCTTAAATCCTACTGGTGTACTCTAAGTTTTTAAAATGAGATTATCCTGTGTTACATTAAGCTGTAAAAGAGGAATTTAGAAGCACATTGGATTAAAAGCTTGACAAGTCTAAAGTGAGAAATCCATGGGCCATTTTAAAGAGCAAAGTGACTCTGCTTAGTTCAGTAAATCTTGACTTTATTGAAATTAGCATTTCTATACTCTAAAGATATATTTTCATTGTAAGCAAGTGAGGAATGATTCATTCATAAGGGACACAGGAGATGCAATGTTTCCTAGTCATAGAACTGCATGATGCATCTACTTTTGCATCCCTTTTTCAGTCACTTGCAGCTTTGCGGAGGTTTATCTGTTCAGGCAAATTTTTTTCATCTTCCAGAATGAAAACCTTCCCCACTCAACATCCCCGCCCCACCCCCCCAAAAAAAAAAAAAAAAAAAAAAAAAAAAAAAAAAA